CGTATGCCATCAAAACAATATATTCACTAACAATTAAGAGTTTATTTATACTTTTGTTAAATATAACATAAGATTTTGTGGTATCCACTAGTGTAAATATTTTAAATTGAAGATCAAATTCAGTCATTGTATTCATATAGGGTAAAGGAGTGTAGCGGTAAAAAATCATCAAAATCGGAGTTAAAATAACCGTTGAATCATGATTTTTCATTTATAACCGTCGAAAAGTTTTGTCCCGTTACTTGATCTCTGAATGTTTATTTTTTGCGATTTTTGGCGTATATGATCTCGAAGTATAAACAAACAAGTTTGACGGTTGGATCGTTCAAACTAGTTTCATAGAATGTGTATGCCATCAAAACAATATATTCACTAACAATTAAGAGTTTATTTATACTTTTGTTAAATATAACATAAGATTTTGTGGTATCCACTAGTGTAAATATTTTAAATTGAAGATCAAATTCAGTCATTGTATTCATATAGGGAAAGGAGTGTAGCGGTAAAAAATCATCAAAATCGGAGTTAAAATAACCGTTGAATCAAGATTTTTCATTTATAACCGTCGAAATTTTTTGTCCCGTTACTTGATCTCTGAATGTTTATTTTTTGCGATTTTTGGCGTATATGATCTCGAAGTATAAACAAATAAGTTTGACGGTTGGATCGTTGAAACTTGTTTTTTTGAATGCGTATGCCATCAAAACAATATATTCACTAACAATTAAGAGTTTATTTATACTTTTGTTAAGTATAACATAAGATTTTGTGGTATCCACTAGTGTAAATATTTTAAATTGACGATCGAATTAGTTCATTGTATTCATATAGGGTCAAGGAGTGTAGCTGTAAAAAATCATCAAAATCGGAGTTAAAATAACCGTTAAATTGTGATTTTTCATTAAGAACCGTTGAAATTTTTTGTCCCGTTACTAGGTCTCCGAATGTTTGTTTTTTACAATTTTTGGGGTATAGGATCTTGAAGTATATACAAACAAGTTTGACGGTTGGATCGTTGAATGGTGTGTGTATATATATATATATATTTACTTATTAAGTAGCTTTAAATTTATTTATTTTGTACGTATAACACTTATGAAATTGGTATATACATTTATTAAGTAACTTTAACCTTATTTATATTTTAAATCGTAAAAAAAATAATTTTATTATTCATAACAATTATTTTTATAAATATCGTGCTATGAACCAATTTTTCGTCTCTCAAAAGTTTGCGCGACCAACAATTCGTCGCGCAAAACTTTAAAAATTTGGGTGAGTACCAAAAATGGGACACGGGATGGAAAATTTTTTTTTAGACTTTGCGCGACCAATATATATTTTCGTCGCGCAAAAATTTGGCGGGTACCAAAAATGGGACGCGGGAATTTTTTTATTTAATTTTTTTAGACTTTGCGCGACCAATATGTATTTTTCGTCGCACAAAAATTTCAAAATTTGGGCGGGTACCAAAAATGGGACGCGGGATTTTTTTTTTGACTTTGCGAGACCAATATACTAATATTCGTCGCGCAAAACTTTGCGCGACCAATACTCCAATATTTTTCGTCGCGCAAAGTGATACGGTTTTTAAAAGAAAAATAACTCCTCCATCATTTTCTCAATGTCTTTCTCTACTTTTTCCTCTCCTCTCTCTTTCCCTCTCCCCAAATCCCACCATTTCTCTCACTCTCACTCCTCTCACTTAATCTCTCATCATCTCTCTCTTCACTATCTCTTACTCTCACTCACTCTCTCATCTCTCTTTTCACTATCTCTCACTCTCACTCACTCTCTCATCTCTCTATCACTATCTTCTCTAATTCTCTCACACTCATTTCTCTCTCTCATTCTCACTCACTCTCAATCTTGCCAAAAGGTAGATTCTCTCCAAATTTTAATTTTTTTTTCATTAATATGTGTTTTTGGAGTTAGTTTTGAGTTTGTGTGGGGTTTGGGGTTGAGTAAAGGGGAGGGATTGGAGTTTGGGTTGGATTTGTGGTATAACAATTTTAGGGGAGATTATCCCTTTTTTTTATTTATTGTACTTTGTTAATTTATGTGTACATTTTGAATATTATATATATATTTATTGGATAATTTGATCACTATTTTTCATATGTAATTTTATTTTGAATATGTCAATTTAAATTAAAGTAATTAAATTAAATTTAAAAAGTAAACATTTGAATAAATTAATATCAATTTAAATTAAAGTAACGAAAAAAATCATACAATTAAATTTAATTTAAAAATTAAAAATTCGAAATAATTAATATAATTAAATTAATATTAAAGAAATAATAAAACAAAAAGTCAAAAACCAAAATATTTCGTCGCGCAAATATTTGCGCGACATTAATATTCGTCGCGCAAAACTCTAAAAATTTGGGCGGGTACTAAAAATGGGACGAGGGAATTTTTTTTTAAAAAAATTTTAAAATTTTTTCGTCGCGCAAAGTTTTGCGCGACCAATATTTTTCGTCGCGCAAAGTCGCTTTGCGGGACAAATATTTTTTCGTCGCGCAAAGTTGCTTTGCGCGACCAATATTTTCGTCGCGCAAAGTCACTTTGAGCGACCAATATTTTTTCGTCGCGCAAAGTCTCTTTGCGCGACGAATGAAAAAAATTTCGTTGCGCAAAGTCTTTCTCCACGATCTTTGTGCGACGGAATCTGCGCGACGAAGTTTTTGTCGCGCTAAAATTTGTGCGATTATAATGTATTTTGCGCGACGAAATTTTCTTCGTCGCGCAAAGTGAAAAATGTAGTAGTGATAGTGGTTGCATGCTAAAAATGTGGGAAGTTAATTTATGTTATGTGAAGGCCGGAGGCCGATTATTTGAATTGCATGTCGTTACTTTGTGCATGCTGCCGGTTGGGTTATATCAAATGTGTTTTATGCAGGTGGAAATTCTGGGGAAAGTTCAATTTACAAGGGAGACTCTGCCGAATTTTTCGGCAGAAAGTCCCATACTCTTATTCCTTTTTGGCAAAAGAGGATATAGTTTTAGAAGTGGGCCCGACATCGGGGTGATGTCGGGAATTCCACAGGATTCGTCTCGGGTTCCGAGAAATTCGGGGCGGGTCTTGTCATTGAAATTGGCTCAAGACATGTTAACGCGAATTCACAACTGAGAGAAGGAAGAACGCTTTTAGAGATGGAAAGGGACTGGTTTCATGAAGACACAACTACTGATCCTCATACCAGTACTCTTAACCTTGACAACTTTAGTGGTTTATTCCTTGTTAGTGGGGTCTTCAGCTCTTGCTGTTTTTTTATTCTCTTTGTTCTCCCTTAAAGATAACTGGAACGGGGTAAAGAAATGCATTCTTCAAAAGTACAATGGAAACGAACAAATCAAATATACTACACAAATGGTGGTTTTGTAATGCGAACTAAGGTTGTTTCATGGCTAGAAACAGACTAATTTCTAAGCAATTTGCTCAATGTATACTTGTGTATGGTATGTACGAATGCTAAATTTGATTAATAAAAAACAAGAGCCAATTCTTCTTCTTCAGAAATTTATCAATCTTAGAGCTTATTGGTTCGGTTAAAACTTAAAACTTTTCAATGTGAGGTCAAAGCCCCTTAGCTTACATTACATGCTCTCTCTTTTTCAGGCAATCTAATGACAGATTATTTTTATGAGCCGCGTGGGATTGCAAATCAACTCATCGAGAATCAACCTTCACTTTCTTTGTGTCGACTATGAGAAACGAACTTTACTTGCCACCAAAGGTAATAACATTCTGTTGTGAATTTGTTGCTACTCTTCAGGTTGTACCAGCCACATGGTTTAGTAAGTCAAGGCCGAGGCTTATAAAAACTTGTAATAGTACACGCTTTATATGAATATTATTATAACAAGTCCTGATGAGTACTCCAGCAATGGACTGGTAGAGTTTTTATCTCGTGCCGTACATATCAGAGGTGTTCTTTAAATTATCATAACGTATGCAACACGCTTGAAAGAATTAATATTCAATTTGAATTTGTCACCTGTCATATTCTAGCTATATCACCATTCACAAAGTCTTGGACGTTGCTTTCTGGAATTTCCTAATCACTGGAATTTCTTATATCTTGCAGTCCACAGCCCCTCTCACTAATTAAAGAGAAGTAAACGGTATCTTGACCTTGACCAGGGGCAGCCAGTGCGACTGTCTGGGCTCATTATTCAGGGTGTTCCAAATATTTTTTTTATAGTAAAGTATTATATTAGGGAAAAAAAGACCAACGAACTGGTCTGTTCCACTTCTCAAGAAGAAGAATGCTTTTGTGCGCCTGTTCCTGTTCCACTCCTCCAGGTCGCTTTTACTTCTTCTTCTTCGTCTTTTTTTCTTCTTTCTCTTCTTCTACAGAGTTTTGAATCCTCTCCTAAGCCTCATCTAAGCTGGTCCTTGTGATTTGTGAATCCAAAATCCTAAGCCTCCATCTAAGTTGGTCCTTGTGAATCCTCTTCTTTTAGTTACAGGTTAAAATTATTTATGTTGGTAGATTGGGGAGATTCCAAAATCCAAAGTGTGTGCTTTTATTCAGTGCAAAATTAGTCCTTGTAGAAATCAATTGAAGGTAATTTTTTATGATTTGATATCAATTGAAAAGGGAAATATGATTTTTTTTTGTTTGTAGATTTGTGAACTCATGCAATTACACATTCTCTTTGTAGGAATTCTCTTTTAAGCTCTAATTGATTGCAAATTTGGAAATATCAAGTTTCTTTCCGTGGTGGGGGATTTCTCAAATTCCAAGTTATATGTTGTTCTTTGTTTATTCTTTGAAGTATTAAAATTGGGGCCTAATTTTACCATTAAGTTTAAATATATATAGAGGCCTAATTTTACTTTTGCCCTGGGCCCTGAAAAATTCAGGACCGGCACTGAACTTGATAGTGATAGTTTTCCTCCTTAGACAGCATTTTATTTAACTAATATAAATTAATATTCTCGGGCGAGCTAGCGCTAATTAATATACATATTAAGAAGCATTATATATATGCAAGACGATACTGATCAGGTGTTAAACCAAACAATAGAGAAGCAGAAATTAAGTTGGTCTCTTGTGTATATGGAGTTTCAAGGGAAGAAGCAAACCATCCTCTGCCTGTCCTTTGTGACCTTGTTTAGCCTTCTAGGTCTCTTGTGTGCTGAAATTGATGGCAGTCCCAATATTGTTGTGGAAGAGGTTCATGTTGGTGTGATTCTTGATATGGGGTCAAGGGAAGGAAAGATTATTCTCAGCTGCATTTCAACAGCCCTGTCTGATTTCTACCATCTGCATAACAACTACAGCACAAGAGTAATTCTGCACACCAGAGATTCCAAAGGAAAAGCTCTACATGCTTTATCAGCTGGTAAGCCACATATTAATATTATAGTTTTTGTACTATAAAATTAATTTTCTTTCTAAACTTTGTTATAATGATTATAATAATAAAAAATTATAAGAAACTATCATTATATACTTTTATCTTAAACTCTACTCGCGATCCTCAACAAAATGCAGCTCTAAATCTTTTGGATGAGAACAAAGTGGAAGCAATTATTGGTGCACAAACAAGAATGGAAGCAAACCTATTGGCAGAGTTAGGAGAAGAAGCTAAAGTCCCTGTATTGTCACTTTCTGAACTTCGTACTAGTCCTTTCGGTGCTCCTGGCGAATATCCCTTCTTTGTTGAGATCACACAAGATGAAACTTCTCAAGTTACGGCAATCAGTGGCCTTATTGAAATGTTCAAATGGAGGGATGTCATCATTCTATATGAGAACACAGATTATGGGAGAGACATCATTCCATTTTTTATCAACTCCTTTGAAGAAGCAAATGTGACTATTGTATATAAAAGTTGCATTGCTGCCTCCTCAGCAGATGAACAGATCATTGAAGAGCTCGGCAACCTCACAAAGTTGAAGACAACGGTATTTGTGGTGCATGTATCACATTTTCTTGTTCCTCGCCTTTTCTTGAATGCAAAAAAGTTAGGCCTACTGAGTGAAGGGTATGCTTGGATCCTGACATCAACTAGCATGAATTTCTTGCATTCTTCCATGGACCCATCTGTAATTGAGTCAACGCAAGGAGTGCTCGGTTTGAAGTCTTATACTCCAGCATCAACCCGCCTCCACAATCTTACTTCAAGATTGAGGAGGATATTTTACATGCAGGATCCCAACATAGAAGTAAGTGCGGTAACCCCAGATGGAATTTGGGCATATGATGCAACTTGGGCTCTAGCTGATGCAGTTGAGAGGACCTGGACTTCTACAGGATTGAACCTAGTGAATTTAAACAATATTACATCCTCCAAACATGGACTTCTGCTTCTTCAAGAGATATTGCAAACAAGGTTTAAGGGTTTAAGCGGTGAAGAAATTCAATATCCAAATGGGAAGCTAGTTTCAAGTGCATTTGAGATTGTGAATGTTATAGGAAAAGGGGAAAGAAGGGTTGGATTTTGGCCATGTGAAGAAAAACACACAAGAGATTCCTACCCACTTGATAACAGAAGAAATTTACTTTCCACCAACGATCTCGAAACAATCATATGGCCTGGAGGATCATCAACCATCCCAAAAGGTTCAAAGATGCAAGTGAGTACTAGTTCTGAAATAAAACTAAGAGTTGGCGTTCCAGTGAAAAAAGGGTTCAACGAACTTGTGCATATCAACCTTGATATTCAAACCAATCAAACAAATTTCACAGGCTTCTGCATAGATGTATTCGAGGCTGCAATTAGAGCATTGCCGTATGAAGTAAATTATGACTTTGTTCCATTTGAGATTGGCATTAATATTGCAAGTTACAATGATCTTGTTTACCAAGTTTTTCTCTAGGTATGCTTAATTTGAAATTAAAAATTTATATCAGGTAGAATATAACTTGTAATGCACAAATAGATTTGCATCTCATTATATTACATTTTTAATGATTCAACCTTTCTAATTTAACCTTTCTAACTAGACATTCGATGCTGTTGTTGGGGATACCACGATCACATCGGAGAGATCTCAGTATGTTGATTTTACAATACCATATACTGACTTGGGTGTGGGGATGCTAGTATCAAATGAAAATGAAGACATGTGGATTTTCTTGAAACCTCTTTCGGCAGATCTGTGGATCACAAGTGCGGGTTTCTTTATCTTCACTGGTTTCGTTGTGTGGGTAATTGAGCATCCTGTCAACCCAGAATTCCAAGGCACACATTCGCAGCAAATCGGAACCATATTATGGTTTGCCTTCTCAACCCTTGTGTTTGCTCATAGTAAGTGCACTATATCTCACTACTTCTTTCAATTATTTAAGTCTACTGCTAATTAGTCAATGCACATCTTAATAGTTTTCAGTCATTATGAAACAACCCTTCTGTTTTCTGATTAATTAACACAGATATGAGAAATAGATGAAAGAACGATTCCTTCTGTCACTCAAATTCCCTTACTCATATTCATTCAGATGAAAGAACGATCAGTCTTGATTTTGTTGCAGGGGAGAAGTTGTTAAACAATTTAGCAAAGTTTGTAGTGATCATATGGGTGTTTGCTGTGCTTATATTGACTTCCAGTTACACAGCAACTCTGACATCAATTATGACAGTCAACCAAATACAATTAAGCTCAAGAGGAAACTATATAGGTTACCATACAGGTTCATTAATCAGTCAGCGAGTGGTAGAGAACTTGAATTTCAAAGGTGTTAAACCCTATAATTCGATTGAAGAATATGGTCTCGCTTTATCAAGAGGAAGTAAGCATGGTGGTGTCTCTGCTATAGTTGACGAGGTTCCATACATTAAGATCTTCCTTGCACACTATCCTACTAGCTACTCCATGATTAAACCCGAATCTAGCACCAATGGTTTTGGCTTTGTGAGTAACCTCCCTTAAATTAAGTTATGCATTAAGCATGATATTTTGGCCACATAACATCTTAGCATTTATAGTTTCTGTAGTTTTTTATGATTTTCCAATTTGATCCTTGTATTTCTGATTCTGGCAATTAAATGCATGTACTTTACTTAAGCTTAAATCAAATCTAATATGTTACATCCATTTAATTACACATATGCATTGCAAATCAAAACTATATGGAGAAAAGCGGAAAATCAGGAAGTAAGCATGCTGATTAGTTCGTTGTTCATCTTTTTTTGTGTATGCAGGTTTTCCCTAAAGGTTCGAAACTGGTCCATGATATGTCAAGGCAAATTCAACAAATGAGAGAAGAGGGAAAGCTTATAGATATGGAGAAGGTCTGGTTTCATAAGAGAACAATTCCCATGTTTGACTACACAACGAGTGATCCCAATACTCTAAACTTCCATACCTTCCGTGGTTTATTTCTCATTACTGGGGTTTCTTCAGCTTTTGCTCTTTTCATATTCATAATATTCCCACTCAAAGAAAGATGGTATGCGGTGAAGAAATTCAGATTTAGATATCGGGTTCGAGAAAAGCTGCAGTGTGTAAGGAAGTTCTTCTCTCACAAAGTTTCCAATGAAAACGAAGAAAACAAGTAGACAGATAGTGCCTGACCCTTAGTGGGGTAGTCTGGGCGCGTAGGACTTGTCGAAGGCGTCCGAGTATTGAGGATTTTGTTGTACGTGTTGGTGAGCTTAGTCCCAGTTGGACGGCTCGTTCCCTAGCCACATAGTCAATTGAGGATTCTTTCATGTGGACTAGTCAAACAATCCGCCAGTTGGATTGTTTCCCCCGTACAACTTAGTGGTGTCATACTTATATATAATTATATAACTATTACGTTGTGCATATATATATATATATATATATATCTATTCATTCGTTCTTGTTTATCAATGAAGGTACTTCCTTGCTCGCCGTGCCAACAGACATGCATTTCGAGAGACTAGGTTGGGTGTAAGAGGGAAAGGTTTGAATGGGATGATTAATAAAGTTTCATTATGGGATTTTGGATCTCACTATGGTTTGGACTCAATTATATATTTATATATGGCTATATTGATTTTGAATACATATGGTTTTCGGCATCGTTTTCTAAATGGTGGGGTTATATTATGTTGTTTTCAGTGTGAACTAAACTTTGTTTTTGTCCACTCATACTTTTCTGTTTTATGCTCCCTACACAGTAGTTGACCGAGTTGAGTAGCAGAGTCGAGCTTTGAACTTCCAAATCCCGAACTTTAGTAGGATAAGCTTTGTTCATTTCCTTTTCGTTAAACTTGGTTATCATTTGAAAACCGAAACTCTTAGATTGCTCTGTTATCGCCTGTACTAGGGTTTGATTTGTGAGGCCGGAGGCCATTGATGTAAACTGCATGAATTTTAACTTGTGCATGATGCCAGTTGGGTTTATTAACTGTTTTTAATAGGTTGAAAATTTGGGAAAATGTCCAATTTTTAGGGGAGACTTTGCCGAAATTTCTGCAGAAAGTCTCGTGTCTTTAGTAAGTGAGCCTGACATCGGTACGATGTCAGAACTATCACGGGATTCGTCCCGGATTTCGAGAAATTTGGGGCGGGTCCTGTCAATTTGTGGCAGCCCCTATGAATTAGTCACATTCAGTCATTTGATTGAACGACATCTAATGGAATTGCCATCTCTAGGAGGATCAAGGTGGTTCATCACCAATCTCTCTCATTATCCATCATCAGAGATGGTCTCCTTGAAGGGCGGAATCAGGATTTTTTTCAACGGGTGGACTAACTATATTTATTAACTAAAAATCTAATGATCATTTTTTTTTCCATACAATTTCTAGTCTTTGTAGAAATAAAATATTAAATCATATAAACCACGCTAGTTTATAGCTCAATTGACTAATTTGCAATAATAATAAAAACATTCTTTCAATAAGGCGATATTGGGGAGGACAAATTGAACCTTAGACAAAGGTAAATGGTCTTAACTATTTGAGCTACAAGCTCCTTGGAATTTCCAATAAGCTTTAACTTTAAGACAAATAAATATTAAATGCAATAAAAAACCATATATTATCAAAATGAAAATATGTTCAACAACATAATTGAAAGTGTACTTATTTTAATGTGTATTTTTATTGTTGCTATGCAACTAAATTGATAAAGAATTGAATTTTATTAGACTTTAATAAGTTAATGCATACTATGGTATATTTGAAAGAAAGCGCATATATGTTTAATATTTTTTATCCCAAAAACCTCACTGGGCTAGTGTAGCCCTTGTGGTAGTTCTGCCCATGTCCTTAAGCACTACCATTTCATCATCAGATATGAGAGCGGTATTTATACAAGGGAGAGCAAAGGGTCATCTTCTTCTTCCACGTGGGTGGCTTGAGTGAATTTGTGGGCATTAGGAAGACCTGGAAGAGGAGGGTTGTGTTGGGAGGAAGAAATGACATGACCAAAAAAAATTCCAAAGAAGAAGAAGATATTCATATGACTCAGCATGTTGTAGGCACAGTCAGTTCCCACATGAAGCATTTGAACCCAAACAGTTTGTGTTATCAACTCAATCACTCAAGTGTTTTTATATCATCTTAATCATGTCTCCAACTCCTTCAAAACATCCAACATAGAGGGTCGGGCTCCTGGGTTCCACTTGAGGATGCTAGGGAGGCGTACTGTCCTTTAATAGATGGGTCCATAAAATGCTTGAGCTTCGACTTCTGAAAAATTTGCAACACCAAAAGGATCAATTCTTTTATTCTTCAAACCCTTAAACCTAATACTTTATACCCACCTGATTGCGAGGATTGTCATGGTTGGCCTTTAAATACTCAAATGTAGCAATTGGACTGCTGCCTTCAAGATTGTCTACATCCATCTCAACTCTCGTTAGCGTCCGGCTGGTCATTAACTGGACCAGCACAACAACACCCATCCCTTATATGTCTCCCTCAGGAGACTTTTGAACTGTAAAATAGTATAAAATAATTAAAATTCCATTATAGTGCATGCATATGGTCTGAACTTTGCCTATGCATTCATGTATAAATAAGTAAATAGATATACATATGCGACACGTTACACAATAGCGATTTAAAACATGAATAATATTAGTCTTACCACATTTTTTATACCACAATTTTATACCACATGATGTGGCATCTGATGTGTGCATACCACATCATGTAAAATACTAGTTTCTGTTTTTCTAATTTTATTTATTAAAATACACTTCATTCATTTAATTGATGTGACATATGATATAGACATACCACATCATGTGGTATAGAAATGTGGGATAATAATGTGGTAAGTGTAGCATTACTCTTAAAACATTGTATATAATTCTTGTGTAATTTATGAATGCTAAATTTTATTAATAAAAAAACAAGAGCCAATTCTTCTACTTCAGAAATTTATCAATCTTGGAGCTTATTGATTCGGTCAGAGCCCCTTACCTTACATGCTCTCTCTTTTTCAGGCAATCTAATAACAGATTATGTTTTATGAGCCAAGAGACATTGCAAATCAACTCGGCGAGAATCAACCTTCACTTGTTTGTGTCGACTATGAGAAACGAAATTTACTGAGATACTGGTGCATGCTCACACAAGGCAAAGCACTCAGGCTGAAAATGCTCCCGAGAGTTTGAATAATGAAGCCTTCCTTGAATCAGAGGATTTGAGACTGTTGGAATTTTAAAAAGGTTTTAAAAATTTAACCATTTTGATTTATTTAATTTATTTAATTTTATTTATAGTGGGGTTATACAAAATTAATTTTCAGTTATTATTTCTATATTGATTACCTATTTAGTAACGGTTTCGGAGAATGTTTTATGCAAATATTTTATGAGAATGAAAACGAGAAAATGAATTTGCATTTTCAGGATTCGAGAATGCGTATGGTAGATTAATTGGAAAACATATTCAGAAAATAAAAATAGTGAAAACGTGTCTGGTATGACAATGTGAGAATAATAAAAAATAACATTTTTTTTGTTGGATGACTTCCTTTAATTTTAATTTTCCATTAAAATGCATACTATCTGAGTGATTTTTCAGAGTCATTTTTGTTAATATATCATCCATTAATATATATATATATATATATACGATTTTAAAAAATAATAGAATTCTAATGTTTAAAAAAGATACAATTATCCTAAAAGACAGATTATATAATAAATAAATAAATAATAAAAAAGAACAATCCCACCTCTCCCGTCTCTCCCTCTCTCTCTCTCTCTCCTGCTCTCTGTCTCTTTCTCTCTCTCCTTTCTCTGCTCTCCTAATTATCACATACCTTGTGACTATAATAAGGCATAGCAGATTGGAATTCTAGCAAATTCTTCGATCTTGGCCAACTCAAATGTACAATTAAGATAAGAGATATTTAGTCATATATTCAATTCATAGAGTTTTTTATTTATTTTTAATTTGGACTTTTATATTGGGTATTATAGTGAATCTCCCATAAAATAAAACCAAATTAGGTAATTGAAATTCATCACCAAGACTTTCACAACCATCACCCAAATTTTGTCACGGATGAGACAGGCTACGACGAGGAATGGGTGGGACTGTGTTTGCAAGAGGGCGAGATGAAGAGACGAAGAGAGAGAGACGGAGGAACCCAAAGAGAGGCAGTGAGGTCTTTCTCTTATCGTGTGGGTTTCTCCGTGTTTCCATTAAACCATTTCCCGTGTTTCCACTTTTCCTTTGAAAATGGGGAAAACAACAAAAAACTGTTTTCTAACTCAAAGAAGAAAAGTTGAGTTTGTTTTCTGTTTGTTTTCCGTGTTTTCATAGTTTACACTACCGAACGTAGGGGTGGTTGCGGTTCGGTAACCGCGAATTTTTACTCAAACCGCAAACCGACCGACTATTTGCGGTTTAGTGATTTTTGAAACCGCAAACCGACCGCGTTTTGCGGTTTACCGCATTGCGGTAAACCGCAAAATGCGGTCGGTTACCGCAAATTAGCGGTTTAAAACCGCAAGTTCTCAAGCATTCACAAAAATATAAATTCACAACCTAAATAAATAAATACACAACCTCAATTTCTCAAACATATATAAATTCACAATCTCCTCAATTTCTCAAGCATTCACAACCTAAGAAAATTAAAGTTACAATTCCAAGCGTTCCAATTAAAGTTAAACTTCTCAAGCATTCAAATTCCAAATCATTTAAAGTTACAAACCAAAAGGAAAATGCAAAGCAAAATGAATTAAAGTTACAACCAAAAAGAAAAATCCAATTCAAAGTTAATTAAAGTTACAAACTAAAAGGAAAATACAATGCACCAATGTTACAAACTAAAGTTATAAACTAAAGTGTTGGTGGTGAGTGGATTTGAAGAACCTCGTTGTGTTGTTTGAGCACCAATATTATCTACAAATAAAACAACATAGTTTAGTACATTTTATTATAAGAAGAAGCATAAATAACATTAGCATAAATAAACTAATTACTTACAAGTTGTCATATGTTCTATTTCTTTGTAGAATTCAACCTCATCATCCGTGCGGCTATACTTTGCGGTTTGCGGTAACCGCAAGTTTTGAAAATCAAATACCGCAACCGCAACCGCAAATGCGGTTCGGTTCTTAATACCGCAAATACGGTTCGGTTTACCGCGATTGCGGTTTCATTGCGGTAAATTGTCGGTTGGTTTTTTGCGGTTTTTTCGGTTTTTCGGTTTAAAATGCCACCCCTAACCGAACGCATAGTGGGTTGTTTTTGTTTTGGGAAATCGGAAAACGGCGTGGGAAAACATTACCGCCACCTTAAGATTTAGCCATGCATCTCCTACGGTGAAGAAATGGTCGTCCAGATCTCAAATCAAATGTGAACCAAATGGCAGAGTCATTCTCAAAGCAGCCCCAACTTGACACTTGATAAAAAGACTTTAGATTGGGGGGCCTCGTGTGGAATGAAAGCAGCAGGGGAGCTTCGTGTAGTGTACCTGAAAGGTGTGCTCTGGGAATGAATAGTGAAGCAAAAACAAATGGGGAAGCTTTAGATAGATAGAAGAGAAGAGAAACAGAGGCAAAGTCCTCCACCACCTCGTCCTCCCTCCTGAACCGGAGAAAAACACCAATTCACAAAGTCTTGGTCAATCTGTTCACATTACTTTCTTGAATTTCCTAATCACTGGAATTTCTTATATCTTGCAGTCCACAGCCCCTCTCACTAATTAAAGAGAAGCAGAAACTAAGTTAGTCATGTATATGGAGTTTCAACGGAAGAAGCAAACCATCCTCTGCCTGTCCTTTGTGACCTTGTCTAGCCTTCTAGGTCAATTGTGTGCTGAAATTGATGGTAGTCCCAATATTGTTGTGGAAGAGGTTCATGTTGGTGTGATTCTTGATATGGGGTCAAGGGAAGGAAAGATTATTCTCAGCTGCATTTCAAGAGCCCTGTCTGATTTCTACCATCTGCATAACAACTACAGCACAAGAGTAATTCTGCACACCAGAGATTCCAAAGGAAAAGCTCTACATGCTTTATCAGCTGGTAAGCCACATATTAATATTACAGTTTTTGTACTATAAAATTAATTTTCTTTCTAAACTTTGTTATAATGATTATAATAATAAAAAATTATAAGAAACTATCATTATATACTTTTTTCTTAAACTCTACTCGCGATCCTCAACAAAATGCAGCTCTAAATCTTTTGGATGAGAACAAAGTGGAAGCAATTATTGGTGCACAAACAAGAATGGAAGCAAACCTATTGGCAGAGTTAGGAGAAGAAGCTAAAGTCCCTGTATTGTCACTTTCTGGACTTCGTACTAGTCCTTTCGGTGCTCCTGGCGAATATCCCTTCTTTGTTGAGATCACACAAGATGAAACTTCTCAAGTTACGGCAATCAGTGGCCTTATTGAAATGTTCAAATGGAGGGATGTCATCATTCTATATGAGAACACAGATTATGGGAGAGACATCATTCCATTTTTTATCAACTCCTTTGAAGAAGCAAATGTGACTATTGTATATAAAAGTTGCATTGCTGCCTCCTCAGCAGATGAACAGATCATTGAAGAGCTCCGCAACCTCACGAAGTTGAAGACCACGGTATTTGTGGTGCATATATCACATTTTCTTGTTCCTCGCCTTTTCTTGAATGCCAAAAAGTTAGGCCTACTGAGTGAAGGGTATGCTTGGATTATGACATCAACTAGCATGAATTTCTTGCATTTTTCCATGGACCCATCTGTAATTGAGTCAACGCAAGGAGTGCTCGGTTTGAAGTCTTATACTCCAGCATCAACCCGCCTCCACAATCTTACTTCAAGATTGAGGAGGACATTTTACATGCAGGATCCTAACATAGAAGTAAGTGCGGTAACCCCAGATGGAATTTGGGCATATGATGCAACTTGGGCTCTAGCTGAAGCAGTTGAGAGGACCTGGACTTCTACAGGATTGAACCTAGTGAATTTAAACAATATTACATCCTCCAAACATGGACTTCTGCTTCTTCAAGAGATATTGCAAACAAGGTTTAAGGGTTTAAGCGGTGAAGAAATTCAATATCCAAATGGGAAGCTAGTTTCAAGTGCATTTGAGACTGTGAATGTCATAGGAAAAGGGGAAAGAAGGGTTGGATTGTGGCCATGTGAAGAAAAACACACAAGAGATTCCTACCCACTTAATAACAGAAGAAATTTACTTTCCACCAACGATCTCGAAACAATAATATGGCCTGGAGGATCATCAACCATCCCAAGAGGTTCAAAGATGCAAGTGAGTACTAGTTCTGAAATAAAACTAAGAGTTGGCGTTCCAGTGAAAAAAGGGTTCAACGAACTTGTGCATATGAACCTTGATATTCAAACCAACCGAACATATTTCACAGGCTTCTGCATAGACGTATTTGAGGCTGCAATTAGAGGGTTGCCGTATGAAGTTAAATATGACTTCGTTCCATTTGCAACTGGCACTAATGCAAGTTACAATGATCTTGTTCACCAAGTTATTCTCCAGGTTTGCTTAATTTGAAATTAAAAATTTGTATCAGGTGGAATATAAATATTATCTTGGATAACTTGTAATACAATAATAGATTTGCATCTCATTATATTACATTTTAATGATTTAATCTTTCTAATTTTTTATTTTTCGTTTTCCTGCCACCCACTTTTGCATATTGGGGAATGTATATTAACTAGAAATTCGATGCTGTTGCTGGGGATACCACGATCACATCGGAGAGATCTCAGTATGTTGATTTTACAATACCATATACTGACTTAGGTGTGGGGATGCTAGTACCAAATGAAAATGAAGACATGTGGATTTTCTTGAAACCTCTTTCGGCAGATCTGTGGATCACAAGTGCGGGTTTCTTTATCTTGACCGGTTTCGTTGTGTGGGTAATTGAGCGTTCTGTCAACCCAGAATTCCAAGGCACACCTTCGCAGCAAATCGGAACCATATTATGGTTTGCCTTCTCAACCCTTGTGTTTGCTCATAGTAAGTGCACGATATCTCACTACTTCTTTCAATTATTCAAGTTTACTGCTAATTAGTTTTCAGTCTCTATGAAACAACCCTTGTCTTTTCTGATTATTCAAGATATGAGAAAGAGTAGCATTATGAATTATGTTTTTCTGACTGAATTCTCTTAATTCAAAATGATTCCTTGTTCACTCAAATTCCATTCAGATGAAAGAACGAACTCAAATTACGATTAGAGATGCTGTACTTGACGATCAGTCTTGATTTCTGTTGCAGGAGAGAAGTTGTTAAACAATTTAACAAAGTTTGTAGTGATCATATGGGTGTTTGCTGTGCTTATATTGACTTCCAGTTACACAGCAACTCTGACATCAATTATGACCGTTAACCAAATACGATTAAACTCAAGAGGAAACTATATAGGTTACCAATCACGTTCAGTCACCCAGGGAGTGGTAAAGAACTTGAATTTCAAAGGTCTTAAACCCTGTAATTCGGTTGAAGAATATGCTGACGCTTTATCAAGAGGAAGTAAGAATGGTGGTGTCTCTGCTATAGTTGACGAGGTTCCATACATGAAGATCTTCCTTGCACACTATCCTACTGGCTACTCCATGATTAAACCCGAATCTAGCACTAGCACCAATGGTTTTGGCTTTGTGAGTAACCTCCCTTAAATTAAGTTATGCATCAATCATATGTTGTATTTCCGCTAAAACTAGCAACATTAAGCATGATATTTTGGCCACATAACATCTTAACATTTATAGTTTCTGTAGTTTTTTAAGATTTTCCAATTTGATCCTTGTATTTCTGATTCTGACAATTAAGTGCATGTACTTTACTTAAGCAACCTGATTAGTTCGTTGTTCATCTTTTTTGTATATGCAGGTTTTCCCTAAAGGTTCGAAATTGGTCCATGATATGTCAATGCAAATTCAACGAATGAGAGAAGAGGGAAAGCTTATAGAGATGGAGAAGGTCTGGTTTCATAAGAGAACAATTCCCATGTTTGACAACACAACGAGTGATCCCAATACTCTAAACGTACATACCTTTCGTGGTTTATTTCTCGTTACTGGGGTTTCTTCAGCTTTTGCTCTTTTCATATTCATAATATTTCCTCTCAAAGAAAAATGGTATGCCGTGAAAAAATTCAGATTTAGATATCGGGTTCGAGAAAAGCTGCAGCGTGTAAGGAAGTTCTTCTCTCACAAAGTTTCCAATGAAAACCAAGAAAAGCAGTATACAGATAGTGCATGAAGCTAAGTATTATGGTATGTAGAACTAGATATTGCTCCCCATTGTAGTCGCTGAGGTTGTCTGAAGCATGAGCTGTGTGAAATCGTGATTTTACAAACAGATAAAGTCACTTATAAGCAATATGCTTGCTTCTCTTTTGTTAAGTATAGGAGTGACATGCAGTTTTTCCTTTAATCTCTTGTTTTCCGAAAGCAAAATCTATATATATTATTGACATAATAATCAAAAGCAATAAGGGAAAGATTTATACGTAACCCAAGCAAGTACTAGGTCGTCTATGAGATTTCGCGAAATCAGTGCGAAATTAAAAAGGGAATCGTCTTTAAATCCCAAATTTATACTCGCACTAATGTGGATTGGTAAAGTTGGAGCACCCCCATGCATTATTTGCTTATTGTCTTATCCCAATATGAATAATACCAGGATCTGTCATGATTCTTGTAAAAGACGAGAAGAATATCTGCTATCAATCTCCCTATAAAGGGCACTATAGTACTTCCAAAGGTACAGCTATCCTAATCAGGGGTGCATCCACCAAAACATGGTCTGCCCATTAAAATGCCAACTTGATTTGAAACTATTGAGATTTTAGTACTTTCTTGAAGCACCGTGATCAATGATTTTGTAAAACATAATTTGATGTCGGAACGGTTTCCGATTTGTCTAACTTTTTTCAAAAATGATCTATGAATATATACTTAAAAAATAGATAGTTTGGATCGTTTAAAAAAATTCGTAACGGACCTTAGAGGATGTCTCTCAAATAAAATTATTTGAAGAATCTCTCAATAGAAGGGGAATATATATATATATATATATATATATATCCAAGAGAATTTCTGGACACTGAGAAAATTGCATGCTTGTGCTTGTCAGTCTAACTCATATACTCTCTATTAATCAGTCTATTAAAACAATCTTGGTGACAAGAAAAACCAAAAATATGCAACAAACATTGAAAGGCAAAGCAGAAGATCATCAGAAAGAAGAGGCAGAATTGGGCATATGGGATTTGTGGCAGCCCCTCTGAATTAGTCACATTTAGTCATCTGATTGAACGACATCTAACGGAATTGCCATCTCTATAGGAGGAGGATCAAGGTGGTTCATCACCAATCTCTCTCATCATCCATCATCAGAGATAAAAATCTAATGATCATTTTTTTTCATCTGATTTCTAGTCTTTGAAGAAATAAAACTTTAAATCATATAAACCACCCTAGTTTATAGCTCAATTGATTAATTTTCAATAATAATAAAAAATTCTTTCGATACATGCGATATTTGGGGAGGAAAAATTGAAACTTAGACAAGGGTAAATGTTCTTAACTATTTGAACTACAAGATCCTTAGAATTTCCAGTAAGCTTTAACCGAAGACAAATACATATATTAAATGCAACCAAAAACCATATATTATCAAAATGAAAATATGTTCAACAACATAATTGAAAGTGTAATTATTTTAAAGTGTATTTTTATTGTTGCCCTGCAACTAAATTCATAAAGAAATGAATTTAAAACCTTTCTTTAAGACTTCAATAGCACACCATCGTTTTAGCTTGTTTCTTTCTATAACGATGATAATCGATGCACTTGTCGTTCGACTTACACTCATGATCATCATTGGCACATTTGTGATTTTGATGCAAACGCATTGTCTGCAGCAACAAAAAAGAAAAAAGAAAGATAAGCTTGTTAAAAGAAAGAAGAACAGAGCAAGAGCACATGAGTTGATAAAGGAGAGTAAATTAATCACATCTCGTGTACGTACAAAAAGGACAATTTGGAGGACTGTCTCGCTATCATGCTACCAATATTTTTCGACAAATTTCAACCATCTGGAGGATTGTTACGCTAATAAATTACGTTCTTTTAAAGGTATCCGAACAGTAAGTGCTCTGTCACAAGCCTTTTTATTTGTATTAGCTAGTTTCCCTGCCAAGACAATTTTTAACTCAATTATTTTTTTTACTCAGATCTCGTTTATTAGAGCATTTCCACCCACAAGGGCTAAGTCTAAGACAAGGGCAAGCAATGGCTGCCACTATTCACGTGAATAGTGTCAGCCTTTGCATTTGTGGTTCCACCCACAAGGGCAAAGTCTAGGGCAAGTCTAAGGCAATTACTATTCATTGTACTTTATTTCCTATTTTTTTATACTTTAAACCATTAATTTTGATAATCTTTTGTAATTAAATTTTTGGATAAGATTTTCACCCTCTAAAATTGTGCCACGTGTCCCATGTCAGATACGATTTTCATATATTGAAAAAAAAATTATAATATCAGATTTCAGATAAAATTTTCACCCTCTAAAATTGTGCCACGTGTCCAATGTCAGATAAGATTTTCAAATATTTTTAAAAAATTATAATCTCATATTTCAGATAAGATTTTCACCCTCTACAATTGTGCCACGTGTCAAATGTCAGATAAGATTTTCAGATATTTTTAAAAAATTATAATATCAGATTTTAGATAAGATTTTCATCCTCTAAAATTGTGCCACGTGTCATCTCTATCTTCTAAATCCCTCTATAAAACTACACCATCAACTCATACCTCTCACACCATCTCTTATCTATTCCTTCACTTCTCAGATTTTAGAAAACACATTCTACTCTCAATGTCAAACTTGTCGAGGGTGTTGGAGAGGCAACAGAAACAAAGGGAAGAAATCCGGCGTAGACGTGCTCAAGAAGATCGGGACGCCGATGAAGAAGAGGAACAACTGCTTGCAGCAGCGGTGTGTATGACGGATCAATCAAGGCAACACCGTCGTCGTCGTTCCCCGAATGTGGACAGATGTAGGGAGTCTCGGGGTAAGAATCTCATGGAGGATTATTTTATCCCAAATTCGTTATATCCTGCTTATAAGTTTCGAGAAAGATATAGAATGCAGCCACATTTGTTCCAAAAAATCATGCATGATATTTGTAATTACGACACATACTTCATTCAAAAGCATGATGCTGTTGGAGCTTTGGGTCTTATCCCGGAGCAAAAACTTACAGCTGCTTTGCGGATGCTTGCTTATGGGGCATCTGCAGAGCAGGTGGATGAGATTGTAAGGATGGGAAAATCTACTGTCCTAGAGTGCTTGGTGAGATTCTGTGATGCGGTGGAAAATTTGTACACGAGGGAGTACCTTCGCAAACCCACGCCAAGAGACCTGCAACGGCTTCTACAAAAAGGCGAGGCTCGAGGTTTCCCAGGAATGATTGGAAGCATCGATTGCATGCACTGGCAGTGGAAGAATTGTCATACTGCTTGGCAAGGGGAGTACGGGAATCGGAAGGGCCAAAAAAGTATAATTTTGGAGGCCGTAGCTTCATTCGATTGTTGGGTTTGGCATGCCTTCTTCGGGGTTGCCGGATCTCAGAATGACCTCAATGTCCTTGGTCAATCCCCAGTGTTCGACGAGGTATTGCGAGGTCATTCCCCCCAGGTCACGTACCAAATCAACAATACCGTTTACTCTGGTGCGTACTACCTTGCCGACGGAATTTATCCTAGGTGGACGACATTCGTGAAAACAATTTCGAATCCCCAATCCGAGAAGGAAAGAAACTTTGCTTCCTTTCAAGAAGGTTACAGGAAAGACGTGGAGAGGTGTTTCGGTATCTTGCAAGCTCGTTGGGCAATTATTAGAGGTGCTGCTCGGATGCTAGATGAGGAGGTGCTGCGGAGTATTATGATGACTTGCATCATCCTTCACAACATGATTGTGGAGGATGAGTATGACTATGATGCTCAAGAGGTGTTTGAACCCGATCCAATGAACACATCGTTGACAAGAATATATGAAAGGCCGATTGGACCAAATGGACTACCACTGGAGCCCGAACCTTACTTCGGGATGGTCAATTCAACAACCCCATGATTGATCGGTATCAAGAAATGCAATCTTCATATGTTCACGAGATAAGTCCAGGTGACTTGGTCGAGCATTTGTGGGAGATGAAAGGCAATCACAATGGATGAAGTCAAGATTAGTGCTTTGTTTGGAATTATGCTTTGTTTTTAATTATGCTTTATTTTGTGTGTGGTTTTCTTTGGAATTATGCGTTTTATTATTATGCTTTTATGTATGGTTTGTTTTGTGTGTTGTTTGCAATAAATGAAGGTTTTTTTTAATTAATATTTGTTTTGATGCTCAAATGTTTTTAATAAATAGTCATTTTATTTAATGCTTTTTTTATTGAATAAAAAGGAACAATACAACAAATTAAAGGATAATACAATGATACAACATATGGCAAAGGTGTTTCAATACAACCTAATGGTTTTCATCATTTAACCAATCCGTATTGCTAGGTCCGTCGTCATGGAAAAGTTTTTTTCTCATCACATCTCTTCGTCGTAGCTTCCAATAGGCCTTTGTTTCGGGAGACATATGGCTCGTATCCATGACCATGATTTTCATCTCTCTATCCTCTATGTCTTTTTCTTGTGCCATATGTTGTTGCATAACAAATGCTTCCTCTCGTGCCATGTCCATTTCATCTCTTTTCAAGTCTCTCTCCATTCTTAGTGAGGTGCTTTTAGCTATTTGCTCCAATAATTGTACACATTCATTAGTCGAAGTGCCCCCTCTCTTGGCCTTTACCGCCTTTCTCCCAATAGGTCTTGACGGACGTGGCACAAATGGTGACTCCGTTTCCATTGGGGAGTCCAATGGAGAATCGGTTGATGTCGAATCGTGGAGTGGCGTCTCATTCATCACAACCGGCGGACCGGTGGGAATAATTTTGAATCTCGAACAATCCTTCACAATTTCCCAACAATGGAAATGCATGAAACTTTTTTTGCCTTGCCCCATGGCACCGAACCACATTTGTGCTTGTATCATCTATTAAAAATAAATAATTGGAAGTGCAAGAAACAAAAATTATTATGCAAGAAAATATAAACTATTTTGAAATGCAAAAATAAAATTGATTATGCAAGAAAATATAGACAAATTAAAGGTGCACCAAGAAAAAAAAATATGCAAGAAAAACAAATAGAATATGCAATAAAAAAAAAGTGACATTGAATTGATTAAAATGGCAATTATAAATATTTTACCTCATCGGTCAAATTTTGACCGCTTTGAATGTTCGCCTTTGCTTTTGTCAAGGCATTTCTCCATTTCCCTAACTCTTTATTTAGAAGTTTCCATCTACTAGACAACGTCATTTCGGTCCGAATAGAACCCGATCTTTGACAAAATTCTCCATGAATTTTGCTCCACATGTGATGAAACTTCATCTCATTGCCCGTGATAGGGTCATGACTAATGTTCACCCAAGATTGACACAACGCAATATCTTTATTCGTTGACCACGAGCCTCCGACTTCAATAGAAGATGCCATTCGTTTTTTTATACAAATGGAAAGTAGTAGAAAAATGTGAGTGGAGAGTAAAAAATATTGGAAGGAGAAGAGTTTTTATGGAGAATTGGTGTGGAAGTGAAAAATGTGAGTGGAGATAAAAAATATTGGAAGGAGAAAAGTTTGTATGAAGAATTGGTGTGGAAAGTGAATAATGTGAGTAAAGAGTAAAAAATATTGGATGAAGAAGAAATTGTATGAAGATTTAGTGTGGAAAGTAAATAAAATGGTTAGGTATTTATAGAGAAAAAATACAGAATTTTTGGGTATTTTTTTAAAAAAATTTCAGAATTTTTTCGATTTTTTTTTCGATTTTTTTAGCCAAAAAAATGAGGACCGTCGGATTTCTGGAAAAAAGCCATCCGAGAGTCCCCGTCGCGCCACGTGGCAAACGTCCATTGGAGCTGTCAGGTGGTGATGTCAGCGCTGACGCCAGCGCACGGAAGTCAAAATTTTTTTACGGCGCGTGTAATTCACGCGCCAACGGTAAAAAAAATTTGAGTTACCGTGCGTTGGCATCAGCGTGACGCCAGTGCTGACGTCATCAAACTCGGGCTTCAGCCCGGGCAAGACTTGCCCTTGGGCTTCCTCGGGCTCATGGGACCCACCATGAAATCGGGCTACGGGCTGGGCGCTGGAGCCATCTCGGGCTCTCTCTAGCAGCCTTTCACCTAGTTTAGGTTAGGCGCTGGAGGTGCTCTTATAAAGTTTTTGATAACTCAAATCTTGATTGCTCAAATAATGTCAATTTCAAATTATATATATACTAAGAGACTGTAGCTTAGGAATAGTGAATTGTCGATTGTGCCCTTTATTAAATTTTCCCTTATGTTCCCTTTTTGCCCCTTCCCATTCGCGTCTCTTTCGATTCGAACGTTTCGTTTGCTCTCAGCTTTCCAGTCCGTTTCGAACCAGTTGGTTGGGCTGGTTGGGGGCAGCCATGGAAGATCAGAGTTCACTGTTCTGCATGCGTGGGGGGCCGTCGACTTTCGTTTGGGGAGGCGCGCTGCAAATCCAGCCGCCCTTTTGGTCTTTATCTTATCGGTTCTCCTCTCAGATGTTGTGTTCGTGTGTTGCTGTTCCAGATGCGCTTCATCCTTCTTCTCATCGCACGGTTTTAGCTCAAAGGATTTCTGGTTTTCTAGGTTGGTTTATTCATTTGTCATGTCGAAAAATTGAGAAGTAAATCAGAAATTGTGTTTGGTTTGTTTTTACAGGGAGGAAGATCTAAGGAAAAAGAACTGGAGTAATCAATATGAGAACCCCCAGTCAGCTCATCAATCTGGTAATTGATGTCTGCGTGGCTGATATTCTGTTTGCGTGTGGTTATAGACTCCTTTTTTTTAAAAAAAATTATTTTTATTTTTATGACTCCAGATCAGAATTATAATTCTAATAGATGTTATAGATTTTCTGTTTGCGTGTGGTTATAGATTTTCTGTGTGGCTGATTTTTTTTATTTTTTATTTCTTTCTGTTTGTACTTATCTTGATTGTTTTCCGGTGAATTGTTTCAGCAAAGATCAGTTCAACAGTACTCTGATATGTATATTTTGATGTTCAACTACGAGTTTGTCATACATATGTGTGTTTAATGTCATGAAGAGGTCTTTGCAAGTAAGACTTTGTACTTATTTGTTGAATGTTATGTTTCTTTTCTCGCTTGGCCTCTCCGATATCACTCTTTCCTCCATCACATCATTTCCTTTAGTTGTTAAATTTTCTGCTTTTAGTGAATTTGAGGGGTGTAAAAGGAAGTGGAGGGAATTGGATTCGGTTGTGTGAGTGAAATTATGCATCTGTGTGTTATTTCAGTCCAAGTTTGTACCTTTGTATATATGAGTGTGTTGTTCTGTTTTGATAAATGGGAAGGCAGCTGTGATTGGGTTTCTATTGTTAGATTTTGAAATTTTGACTGGTAAAGGCATTCTCAAGGGAACTGACTTTTTGGACTATATTTGCTCTGTTTCAAATGCTTTGCAGTAAATATTTCTCTGAAATGAACCAAAAATTATATACACTACTTAACCCAAGCAAACAAAAGTGGGTGTTTTCATGAGTCATAATATATATATATATATAATTAATTTGATGTTAAAGCTCCTTCAATTTGTCATTTTGGATATTTATATAAGTGCATATGTTTGTAAATCTTTTGAAAAGTAGATCATTTTAGATCCTTCTTAGGTTTTGCATTTCCTCTGTCTAAAGCACCTGTAATTTATAATACAATTTACATCAGAGCATATGCTTTGTAATTGAATCATGAGAGCATTGTTGAATGAGGGGATCTGTACAGAGTGGTTTCTTTCCGTACAGATTTTGCTCTAGCTAATTTTTTTGGTTTAATGAAAAGATTGTGCATGTATAAAATACTCGAACTAATTTCATCTCCGATTTTTCTGTTTTTTTCTTCCTTTTTCTTCTTCTTTTTTTAAACCATGTTTTCTTTTGATATTTTGCAGGTGGTCTTTTGTTGCTTTGGATAGAGCAGTTTGGTTGGTGTTTTCAATTCTGTTAAGCAAGGGGTGAGTTTCTAGGCTGAAATTCCAATTAATTGTTTTAAGGTTTGTGAATAGAGCATAGGAATTAGCTAATGGCATCAATTGACAATTGGTTGGTGTTAATTTGTTGTTGTAATGATGGGTTTAGATGATTACAATATCTGAACATGTTGGTAAATCCTTTGAGTGTTTTGGCAATTGGGTACTTGAGAACTCCCAACATGAGGAGAGAGTGACAATGCGTAATTGATTGGAGGGAAAAACATGGTGTCTCTCTTTGTGTGTAGGTGGCTCAGCGGGGAATCAATCACTGGCCCTGTATTCTGAAGCAGCGTTTATGCGACGCTCTCATTTTTTTGCTTGCAAATTGCAATTTGTTGGTATTTAAAGTAGTGGAAAATTTTCAAAACATTTCAAAGTGGTCCTAACTCTGATTTTCTGTTGTTTTTTGGTTTTTGAATTTGTTTGTTTCTTTTGTTTTTGTGGAATTTTTTATTCAATACTCTCTCTCTCTCTCTCTCAAGGAAAGCAAAACTTGAAAAAGCTTTTCTAATCAGTAGAGTAAAAATAATACTTAGAAGTGAAGAATCACTTTATCTCTTAATTACTAGGACAACAAAACTTGAAAACGCTCTTTTAATCCAATAATATACTTACAAAGGTTAGAACCAAAGAATCACTTTATAATACTTCAATTGATCTGCTACATTTATTGGATTCCTGAGTATTTCTTTTTTCTTTTTTTTTATCAACTTTCATATCATATTAGTACATCCACCACACAGACACATCTTTCATGCTCTATTTTTCGTTTGTCTTGCTTCTAAAAAGTTAATTATTAATTTTCCTTGAACATGGTTTTCTTTTGTTTGTTAAAAAAAAAAAAAAAAAAAAAAAAAAAAAAAAAAAAAAAAAAAAAAAAAAAAAAGAAAGAATAGATGACGATCTATCTATCTATGATGAGAAAAAAACCAAGCTGGTTTTGCCTTTTGTTGGAATTGTTGGGGGATGGGAGATATTTTTTTATTGGCTCTTTCTCCCATGAGAGCTTCACTGTTGAAGCTTGATCTGGCTTTCTTGCGGCCGTTGATTTCGTTTGTGGCTGCTGTGGTGCGAATTGGTTCGTCCATTTGGTCCTCTTCTTCATCAGATAATCTTCTTTTTATTTGTTCGCCTTTTTGTCTCATATCGTCTTCTTCCTCTTTCTTTCGTTTGTGCCTGTGCTGGTATTTGTTGGGTTTCCTTCTTCAATTTTTCAGATATGTCTTTCTTTTTCTCTTCTTCTTTTTTAAGCACGTCTTCTTTTGATGTTTTGTAGGTAGTCTTTCGACCGACGGTTCGAATGCCTCACCCGTTGTATCTCCCGATCGCTCCTCCTCAAGATTCAACGACAGCCATCCGACGATGAAATGATCAATCGTCTGGGACCTGCGGTCTTTCCGAGGATCTCAATCAAAAAATTATTAAGCAGGCAAGATCTCTCTCTCTCTACTTGAGCATGTGGATAATGAACCCTAGGAGCTTAATATCTGTTTGCATCTAAAAGGAAATATGATTTAACACTGTATAAAATATGTAGAAACTTACTTATCCTCTGTTTGCTAAGAAAATGCAAGAAAAAAACAGAAAATTTCGTCTTTTTAAACATTTTACTGTTGTTTTGTGGGTAGGAGTTCAATAATTATGCTTATAAGAGCGTTTGAGGTCACCCACTTAATAACATTATACTTTTTATTGAAATCACTTGGGTTTCTGTGGAAACTCAAGGACATAAAGGCAAAAGTTTGAGTCTTTGTTCTATAATTATCTTGAATTGAAAATTTGGTGCTTTTCTTCTTTCTTTCATTTGCTTGGAATTACAATGAAAATTTCCTTTCATTGTTTTTTTGGTTGTTGAAGGGTTTGAGCATGAGGAAAAAGGTGATTTTGCAACCTCACCAAAGCATTTCAGGTAAGAACCATATCCTTGAATTGCCCTTTTGGACCAAAAGTAAGCCTTTTGTGTGACGGTTTATCATATGATTGGGTTCTATGTTTGAGCTTATGGATTGGTTCATGGTGGATTTGAATTGGCACGCAGAGTTGCTTGGGTGAAGCTGATGACTTTGTGCATTGCAGGACTACAACAAAATGGTGCAACTACATCTATTCGTGGACTTTGAAATAGAAACAAGGTTTGCATCTTTTAATCACCTCCACTGTATTTCAATTTCTTTCCCTTTTATTAATTTTGATTGTATTTCTCCCTTGTGATGGGATTGAACATGCTTTTGAACTGGTAATGGCAGGTGACTGTTTGTGCGTGAATAAAGGCTTGCCATTGCCCTTGGTGCTGATGTGGGACAGAGCCAGTGTATATGTACAGAAGTTGCGGTATACAATGTTCTCTCTCCCTCTCTTTAATTTCAGTTTTTTTTTTCTTTTAATAGAATTTCGTCAAATATTTTGGTTCTGGATTTTTTGTGTTGAAGAAATTTACAATAAAGGTATTTTATGACGTTCTGTGTTTGTAAATATCTTTTGTAGAACAACACAGAATGTTGACCGACGTTACAAGAAAAAACGAAGTAGGGTTCTGCGTTTGGACTAGCAAAGAGGTTTGTCAATCGTCCTCTCATCCTCAATTTTTTTTTCAATTAGTCGATTACATCTCAGCCTTAAATTCACTGTTTTTTTTTATTTCTGTTTAATTTAATGAGACAATTTCTGTTACAGAATTCTAAATTATGCAGCACTTTTTCCATGTTAGGGTACTGGGATGCTAGGGGTTTCCTTTTATTCTCTTTTCCACTGCATATTATAACTTAGATGGGTATGCTTCAAGAAGGTTAGTTTTATTCTTGAAGAATACCCATTTGGTTTTAGACGTAGTTTATTTAGTTAAATATATGGCTACTGGTGAAATGGATTAGCCAAATATTGCATATGTAATATGCAAACAAATTCTTAGTATTGTTGCAAACAGTCAGTTTAAGTGAAGGATTGTTGTATGAAATTTGGTAAACAAATATCTAGAAATTATCTTCTCAGTTTCTTAGGTTCCATTTAATTTGGTATTTGTTTTTGTGTGATATATTTCTCTTAGGGCATGTCAAATGGTAAAGCTGCAATTAACGGCGCCTTTTTTGTGTTGCAGTTCCACCAGTACCAGGTTGTTGGGAGGAAGCTCCCTACGGCATCTATTGAGCACCCTAAGATTTACCGAATGAAGCTCTGGGCCACCAATGAGGTTCGCACCAAGTCCAAATTCTGGTATAATCCTTAACCCTAGCTCAGCTTTTGTGATCCCAAATGTTCATTGGTGAATTTGGTTAAACTTAATATAGTTGATTGATTTGTTTGGATTAGGTATTTCCTTAGGAAGCTGAAGAAGGTCAAGAAGAGCAATGGCCAAGTGCTTGCCATTAATGAGGTTTGTTCTCTCTGCCGTTTATACTCTATATTTTCTTATTAATAAATTTATACCCATTTTGATTATTTGTCAGTGTCTAATGTAGTCAATGTTGTTTTGTGGTGGGGAAGTGGTTCCTCCTCAACTCTCCTCCTGGCTTAATCCAATTTGTTGCCAAAGGTCTCCGCCTTTGACCCACTCTTTTATCACATTTATTTCGCTTTTTTCTAATTTTGTTTCGATCATTTGAATCGTATTTTGTATTTGATGTTTGGCTTTGGTGGCAAATGTGAAGGAGGCTGTGTCAGAGGCATCCCCTTGAAATGACCAGTTGATTTGGAGACGTATGTTTTCTTTTCCTTTTTTCCTTCATAATTGAAGCCTCCACTTTGCTGAATAAAGGCTCCTCTTGGCTTTAGTGTTTCGTTTCAATGAATTTTGGGCTCTCACATGTCTGCGAAATTGCTAACCTTTTTTTCTATAGAGATGTTCAAAGTTTGAACACTACGTCCATTATTTGAATTCTAATACTGCATTTTAATTCTTCTCTCTTTTTAAGAACACTACCTCTATTATTTGGAATTGATTAAGATTATTTTTTGCGCCTGTATTTTGGCTAATTTTTTCTTTGGGAGTATTATGAAAACCTATCAGCATATCCACACCTTCTTCTACACCCTATTTCTCTGCACATTCCTCTCGAAAACTTAAATGCTTTATGCTCCACTGTAGCCTTTTGTAGTTTTCTCTGCTTTCACTTGGTTCCATTTTAAGTTTTTATTTTTTATTTTTTATTTTTATTTTTTTAAATCTTTATTGTAAATTTGTTATTTTAAATCCTTAATTTTAGGATTAGTTATGGTTTATTTTTATACCTTATAATGAATTGAGATGTGGACAATGAATGTGTTTCTTCCTTCATAGTTGTGCTTAAAATAATATTTCTCTTGATATCTTTTCTTTCATATATAGGTGACATGAAGAAGAAACAGGGAAGGAAATCTCATATGTAATGGGTATTTTATGTTGGAGGTTAGGTTTATTTTATGATTTTTTATGTTAGATTTCATACTGAATCAATTTGAAAGGTTCCCCTGAAGACTATATGAATTTCTTTTAAGTTTTTATGGTTATAAGTTATAACACATTAAATTTATTTTTCTTATCAGTTCTTTCAACTTTATTTTGCTAATTCAGTGAGAGTAGTTGTCAAAGATGGCATCAAAGCTTAGCAAATCTATGCTTGATGGGGTTTGAAATTACGATTTGATCAGTGATAGGACTTTTGGTTAAATCCCAAGCAGGAAATGCATTCTTTGCCATAGTTCTGGACAGGTCCTCTTGGCTTCCCTTGATGCTATCAGTAAGTTAATTAGTGTTCTATAACCTATAGGTGTTTATAGGTTATTTCTGCTTTTATAGCTTACTTCTCTATTAGATCAACATAGCCTATAAATGGCAATACATGTATCAGTTTTGACCTTAGGTGTCTATAGATCATCTATTCTTTTGTACAACAAACTTGCACATGGTTTGATTTTGTTATGGGTATTTGGTTTGATTCTATTAAAGTCTGGGTCTTTTGGTTTCATTGTGGCAATGACAGGTTATACTTTTGTCTACCACATTTGTAGAATGCTTGGCGTATTTAAATTGTGGTTTGTGCAGTCGATTTTTTGGCCTTAATTCTGTAATAATAGCCATTGTCTTCACTAAATTTTCCCATTTGTCTACACCAACACCTCTACCAGTTTCCAAATTTGTAGCAACAGATTAAACACCCATTGATTTGATGCTATTAAAGCTCGAGTGTTTTGGCTTAATTCTCTCATACCTATTTAATAAATTGTCACAATTGTTCTAAGTTTGTTATCAATTGATTAAATAGACTGCAGTTATACTTTTGTCCATCATATTAATAGAATGGTTGATGTACCTAAACTGTTGTTTGTCCTGTTGGATTTTGTAACTTAATTTTGTGATATGGTAGTTGGTCTTCGCTTAAATTTTTCCATTTATCTACACTAACACCTGCCATTTTCCAAATTTGTACCAACAGAGTTAAAACCCCTGCAAAGGACAAGAAAGAACAGAAGCCACCTCTATAGCAAAGCCATCAAGAGAAAGATCCCCTTCCAACATACATCAAGGCAGAAAATCCCCTTCCACCACCCAGTAGCATATATATGTAAAGACCTGTCCAAACTCTTTTGAACAATGAACATCTTAAAACTGCTGATATTTTGATGCTATTTTGATGTTTTAATTGCTGCTTGGTTTATTAAAATATGGTCAATATTTTAACATGACAAGCTGCATATAAAACGTGTTATTAGTCTATTTTTTGTAACATAAACTTGCCAAATAAAGCATGATGCCACTATTTAGATCTCCATGTCTATATAAATATTTCCATCTTCCATATATTTTTTCACGATTTTGTATACATTTCACACGGTTTTAATCCCGCAGCATCGCGCGGGTACCTTTGCTAGTAGATTTCTAAAGTTGAGCATCTTGTTATGATAAATAATAAATCTCATCAGTTTCTCATTCATAATTAATGTAAGAGAAATGAGCAATGATACTTTTCTTTTTCTTTTGCTAGATTTTAAATATCTTTTACAGATTGACATATGTTGAAATGCTGTTGTACATTTTGCAGGGGAGATGTTGTCAAACAATTTGGCAAAGTTTGTAGTGATACAATATAACCAGATACACTGCCACTTTAGCATCAATGATGACAGTTAAACAGATACAATATAACCCCAGAAGCAAATTACATAGGTTTCCATGGTGTATTGGCCTCAGGAAATTTAGAGAACTATGTGAAATCCGACGGTCGTAGAACGTACAATTCGGTTGAAGAATTTCACTATGCTTTACTCTATGATTAAACCCAAGCCTATTACCAATGGTTTTGGCTTGTGAGTAACCTTTCTAAACGTTGCATATGCATTCAAATATAAATAAGTAAATAGATATACATATGCGACACATTACACAATAGCGATTTAAAACGTTGTATATAATTCTTGGGTAATTTACGTTCTAAGTCACATATGCAAGCGGTTGATTAAATTAATCAAATAAGCCTTCATAACTAATTTTGGCATCGGAGAGTCTACGACCGGCACCACATAGGTGCTCAAGACCTCACCTGCCGTTTCTCTCTTCAGCTCGGATCTAGCGTCCACTTTAGCAGCAGGACGCCACGGGAAGAAGGCCCTTCCGGTCCACAATCATCCACATACCTGTAAGTTATCCCTATCACTATCTATTTAGTTTTAAGAGTAAACAGATTGGCGCCGTCTGTGGGAAGCTTCGATCATCGATCGGCCCATATCTCTCTTGAGCAAAGATGAATCTACCATCCTCCCTCGCTACCGATGGTACCGCCACCATCGGCCTGGCAAGTGGAGCAAGCCCCGCTCTTCCCCCAAGTACGCTGTCAATCATACAGTTGACGAACGGCACAACCTTCCGAGGGCACGCCACATTGACCGGCTCGGCATCCCCCTCTACCTCATCACCAGGAATAAGGATGGCCGCATACTCATTTGGCCCCCTTGGCCTATTTGGCAGATGCATCACGTTGAGGGCGCCCTCGATCTGCCTCTTCCCTGTCACTTGGAGGTAGGCCTCCCTGACGGTCTCAGCCTCGGCCGCCCTCTTCTCCCAACGACGATCAGCCACCGTCACCTCATCAGCTGAAGGCCCTTCGGCTTGGAGATAGGCATTTTCCACAAGATGGGCCTTACCACATATCATTTCAATTTTCATGATAAGTAGGCCCCAGAAACAGAGAATGTTTTGGAGTTAACCAAAACTGGTCCTCCTAAAAAAATAGATATTTTCAACTACTTTTTAGTTAAATTAGAGATATTTTCATACGACAAACCCAAACACATGCAAAGCAAAAAGTCCATGGATGTTGGAGTGAGATATTTGTTGAGATCTTTCGAGCTATCTCTTTAGTCATCGCGTCACGAATCACACCTCCTCACAAATCGACCCTGCAACACAGAAAATAAGGTATTATCAAACGAACAATAATTTCAAAATTCAAAACATATCAATTTGGCAGAGAGAGAGAGAGAGAGAGAGAGAGAGAGAAGACAAAAACCTTGAGTCTTGGTCTTTTATCTGCGTTGAGTTTGCGGACTTGGTACCTTATCTTCTTGGAGAAAAGTCTAGACTGGCGCTTCTCTCTGTACCTTAGAACACTTGCCTCCCTTCTTGTTCTCTCTTCTTCCATTATTGGCACCTCTCCCATCTAAGTAAAGGATAATTAGACACAAAATTAAACATTAACACAACATTCTATACCTAAGAGAAGCCTCCTCATATATGCACATGACACTCATTTTACAATTTGAATGCAGTTTTACTGCTAAATCCAATTTGATAATGTCATCATGGACAGAAATAAATAAATACAAACAGTACTACAAAGTACACCATTTAAAAGTGTTTTTTCGTACCTCGAACATATTGAAAAGGAAGCGTCATGTGTTCTTGTTCAGAGTATATGAGAGTTATTCGTACTTTCTCATAAAAGAAGCACGAGAATATTGGGATTAAATTTGAGAGCATAAGAAATGACCAAATTACCCCTACCCCAAGGGCAATTTCATAATTTCACTTAAATAAGTTAGATAGGGGATTAAATTTGGAGTCGGGGTGTTACACTAAGATGCAAATAATTACCCAAGGACTTCTGTGACATTTTCAATGATGAAAATTTCATCATTGAAAATAGGATTCTTTTCTTTTTGGTCCATAGTTGAGATATAGTTACCTCCACTAAATGTAGTGTCCATCGATTGAAGTCTTAAATGAAAATTTACTCGCTGCCAAAGGTAATAACATTCTGTTGTGAATTTGTTGCTACTCTTCAGGTTGTACCTGTCGCACGGTTTAGTAAGTCAAGGCCGAGGCTTATAAAAACTTGTAATAGTACACGCTTTATATGAATATTATTGTAACAAGTCCTGATGAGCACTCTAGCAATGGACTGGTAGAGTTTTTATCTCGTGCCGTACATGGCAGAGGTGCTCTTTAAATTATCATAACGCATGCAACACGTTTGAAAAAATTGATGTTAAATTTGAATTTGTCACCTGTCATATTCTAGCTATATCACCATTCACAAAGTCTTGGACGTTGCTTTCTGGAATTTCCTAATCACTGGAATTTCTTATATCTTGCAGTCCACAGCCCCTCTCACTAATTAAAGAGAAGTAACGGTATCATGATAGTGATAGTTTTCCTCCTTAGACAGCATTTTATTTAACTAATATAAATTAATATTCTCGGGCGAGCTAGCGCTAATTAATATACATATTAAGAAGCATTATATATATGCAAGACGATACTGATCAGGTGTTAAACCAAACAATAGAGAAGCAGAAATTAAGTTGGTCTCTTGTGTATATGGAGTTTCAAGGGAAGAAGCAAACCATCCTCTGCCTGTCCTTTGTGACCTTGTTTAGCCTTCTAGGTCTCTTGTGTGCTGAAATTGATGGCAGTCCCAATATTGTTGTGGAAGAGGTTCATGTTGGTGTGATTCTTGATATGGGGTCAAGGGAAGGAAAGATTATTCTCAGCTGCATTTCAACAGCCCTGTCTGATTTCTACCATCTGCATAACAACTACAGCACAAGAGTAATTCTGCACACCAGAGATTCCAAAGGAAAAGCTCTACATGCTTTATCAGCTGGTAAGCCACATATTAATATTATAGTTTTTGTACTATAAAATTAATTTTCTTTCTAAACTTTGTTATAATGATTATAATAATAAAAAATTATAAGAAACTATCATTATATACTTTTATCTTAAACTCTACTCGCGATCCTCAACAAAATGCAGCTCTAAATCTTTTGGATGAGAACAAAGTGGAAGCAATTATTGGTGCACAAACAAGAATGGAAGCAAACCTATTGGCAGAGTTAGGAGAAGAAGCTAAAGTCCCTGTATTGTCACTTTCTGAACTTCGTACTAGTCCTTTCGGTGCTCCTGGCGAATATCCCTTCTTTGTTGAGATCACACAAGATGAAACTTCTCAAGTTACGGCAATCAGTGGCCTTATTGAAATGTTCAAATGGAGGGATGTCATCATTCTATATGAGAACACAGATTATGGGAGAGACATCATTCCATTTTTTATCAACTCCTTTGAAGAAGCAAATGTGACTATTGTATATAAAAGTTGCATTGCTGCCTCCTCAGCAGATGAACAGATCATTGAAGAGCTCGGCAACCTCACAAAGTTGAAGACAACGGTATTTGTGGTGCATGTATCACATTTCTTGTTCCTCGCCTTTTCTTGAATGCAAAAAGTTAGGCCTACTGAGTGAAGGGTATGCTTGGATCCTGACATCAACTAGCATGAATTTCTTGCATTCTTCCATGGACCCATCTGTAATTGAGTCAACGCAAGGAGTGCTCGGTTTGAAGTCTTATACTCCAGCATCAACCCGCCTCCACAATCTTACTTCAAGATTGAGGAGGATATTTTACATGCAGGATCCTAACATAGAAGTAAGTGCGGTAACCCCAGATGGAATTTGGGCATATGATGCAACTTGGGTTCTAGCTGAAGCAATTGAGAGGACCTCGACTTCTACAGGATTGAACCTAGTGAATTTAAACAATATTACATCCTCCAAACATGGACTTCTGCTTCTTCAAGAGATATTGCAAACAAGGTTTAAGGGTTTAAGCGGTGAAGAAATTCAATATCCAAATGGGAAGCTAGTTTCAACTGCAATTGAGATTGTGAATGTTATAGGAAAAGGGGAAAGAAGGGTTGGATTGTGGCCATGTGAAGAAAAACACACAAGAGATTCCTACCCACTTAAGAACAGAAGAAATTTACTTTCTACCAACGATCTCGAAACAATCATATGGCCTGGAGGATCATCAACCATCCCAAGGGGTTTAAAGATGCAATTGCGTAATAGTTCCAAAATAAAACTAAGAGTTGGAGTTCCAGTGAGAATAGGGTTCAACGAACTTGTGCATGTGAAACATGATAATCAAACCAATCGAACATATTTCACAGGCTTCTGCATCGACGTATTCGAGGCTGCAATTAGAGCATTGCCGTATGAAGTAAATTATACCTTCATTCCATTTCCGATTGGCATTAATGAAAGTTACAATGATATTATTTACCAAGTTGTTCTCCAGGTATGCTTAATTTGAACTTAAAAATTTATATAAATATTATGTTGGATATATACATCTGTAATTGTATGCTAGTAACTTGTAATGCAAAAATAGATTTGCATCTCATTATATTACATTTTGATTATTTAATCTTTCTAATTTTTAATTTTTCGTTTTCCTGCCACACACTTTTGCATATTGGGGAATGTATTTTAACTAGACATTCGATGCTGTTGTTGGGGATACCACGATCACATCGGAGAGATCTCAGAATGTGTGTTTTACAATACCATATACTGACTTAGGTGTGGGGATGCTAGTATCAAATGAAAATGAAGGCATGTGGTTTTTCTTGAAACCTCTTTCGGCAGATCTTTGGATCTCAAGTGCGGTTTTCTTTATCTTGACCGGTTTCGTTGTGTGGGTAATTGAGCGCCCCGTGAACCCAGAATTCCAAGGCACACCTTCGCAGCAAATCGGAACCATATTATGCTTTGCCTTCTCAACCCTTGTGTTTGCTCATAGTAAGTGCACGATATCTCACTACTTCTTTCAATTATTCAAGTTTACAGCTAATTAATTTTCAGTCTCTATGAAACAACCCTTGTGTTTTCTGATTAATTAACACAGATATGAGAAAGAGTGGCATTATGAATGATATTTTTCTGGCTGAATTCTCTTAATTCAAAATGATTCCTTGTTCACTTTTAGTCACTCAAATTCCCTTACTCATATCCATTCAGATGAAAGAACGAACTCAATTTACGAATATAGTTGACCATCAGTCTGGAATTAGTTTAGAGTTGATTTGCTAAGATCACCTGGAAATGAAATTTTGTCTTTTTGATGCAGGGGAGAAGTTGTTAAACAATTTAGCAAAGTTTGTAGTGATCATATGGGTTTTTGCTGTGCTTATATTCACTGCCAGTTACACAGCAACTCTGACATCAAATATGACAGTTAACCAAATACAATTAAACTCAAGAGGAAATATAGGTTACCATTCATTAATCAGTCGGCAAGGGGTAGCGAACATAAATTCAAACGTTCTTATAAGACGGTTGAAGAATATGCTGACGCTTTATCAAGAGGAAGTAAGCATGGTGGTGTCTCTGCTATCGTTGACGAGGTTCCGTACATTAAGATCTTCCTTGGACACTATCCTACTGGCTACTCCATGATTAAACCCGAATCTACCACCAATGGTTTTGGCTTTGTGAGTAACCTCCCTCAAATTTAGGTTATGCATTAATCATATGTTGTATTTCAGCTAAAACTAGCAAGATTAAGCATGATATTTTGGCCGCATAACATCTTAACAGTTATAGTTTCCAATTTGATCCTTGTATTTCTGATTCTGACAATTAAGTGCACATATGTCAAATGTGGCTATAGATGGAAAATTGACGTGAAAAGAGCTTTATGATTATGTCCATCTATTTAATTACACATATGCATTGCAAATCAAAACTGTATGGAGAAAAGCAGAAAATCAGGAAGTAAGCATGATATGTCAATGCAGGTTTTCCCTAAAGGTTCGAATTTGGTCCATGATGTGTCAATGCAAATTCAACGAATGAGAGAAGAGGGAAAGCTTATAGAGATGGAGAAGGTCTGGTTTCATAAGGGAACAATTCCCATGTTTGACAACACAACGAGTGATTCCAATACTCTAAACTTCCATACCTTTCGTGGTTTATTTCTCATTACTGGGTTTTCTTCAGCTTTTGCTCTTTTCATATTCATAATAATCCCACTCAAAGAAAAATGGTATGCCGTGAAGAAATTCAGATTTAGATATCAGGTTCGAGAAAAGCTGCAGCGTGTAAGGAAGTTCTTCTCTCACAAAGTTTCCAATGAAAACGAAGAAAACCAGTAGACAGTGCATGAAGCTAAGTATTAAGGTATGTAGAACTGGATATTGCTCCCCATTATAGTTGCTGTGGTTGTACGGGAGCTGTGTGAAATCGTTATTTTGCAATGCTAAGGTTGTGTTTATTAGTATATATTGTACAAACAGATAAAGTCACTTATAAGCAATATACTTGCTTCTCTTTTGCTACGTATAGGAGTGACATGCAGTTTTTTCTTTAATCTCTTGTTTTCCGAAAGTAAAATCTATATTATTGACATAATAATCAAAAGCAGTAAGGGAAAGATTTATACATAACCCAAGCAAGTACTGTTAGAATTCATGGATTCAGCAGCTCATTTGTGGTATTTTGGATGTTTTGGGAGAGAGGAAGAAATCTAAGTATGAGAGAACGTTGCTCTGAAGGAGAAGAATAGAAACTGAAAAAGTGTGTACTGTTCATTCCACTATACCCAATTATATCTGTTGTAAGAGAGAGAAGAGAGATTCTTCTCTAACTGATTTACACAGGACTTAATCCTAACCATTGATCTTATCATCCTATGAGATGATTACACATGTCACAATCTAACACCTTATATCCTAGGCTAGATAAGAGGCCACTTGGACTATGATCCAATGGCTCATATTACAACCAGAAAAATAACATATAAAATTGAAATAAAATTCAAACATAAAGAAACTTTGGCGCCAAGGATTTCAGCTCAAGGGTTACACATCAACACTCCTTTCTAACCCTTTGGCTGATTTCACTCCGAGTAGATCTCTGAGATGCACAAAACGATCCTTGGATAAAGCCTTGGTTAGAATGTCTGCAGTCTGATCTTCAGTTTTGCAGTAGATTAGTTCAATCTCCTTCGCTTGAATAGCTTCTCGAATGAAATGAAACTTCCGGCTAATGTGTCTGGATTTCTGGTGAAAGACAGGATTCTTTGCCATGGCTATAGCAGAGGTGTTATCACACAAGATTGGTGTGCCCTCCACTTGCTCCTCTCCAAAGTCTCCAAGCACAAACCTTAGCCATTTAGCTTGTGATGTTGCTTCAGCAGCACTCACATATTCTGCCTCTGCAGTGGACAAAGCTACTGTGTTTTGTTTAATTGATGCCCATGAGAACATGCCAGATCCAAGAGTGAATGCATACCCTGAGGTGCTCCTTCTGTCATCTTCACTTCCTGCTCAGTCACTGTCACAATACCCTATCAAGGTAGCTGCCTTCCCCTTTTTAAACTCAATTCCAAAATCCAGTGTGCCTTGATGTATCTCAATACTCTTTTGGCTGTTCCCATGTGTTTCATAGTGGGATTATGCATGAATCTAGCAAGCAAACTAGAGGCAAACATTATGTCTGGTCTTGTAGCTGTTAGATATAGCAAGCTACCTACAATCTGCCCATAATCACTCTCATTTGCCATCTCACTACCATCTTCCTTGCACAACCTTTCATTTGCAACCAAAAGAGTTACCACAGACTTACAATCCTTCAAACCAAACTTCTCAATCACCTTCAATGCATATTTCTTCTAATGGAGAAAGATATGTTTATCTGTTTGTACTACTCCCATGCCAAGAAAATGGTGGAGTAATCCAAGATCAGTCATTTCATAATGTTTCATCATGTCATTTTTGAACTCTTCAAGCAACTTTGAGCAACTTCCAGTATAAACAATATCATCCACATAAAGAGAGACAATAAGAATACATGTTCCTTCATCAGCTTTGATATAGAGTGTAGCTTCACTAGGACTTTTCTTGAATCCTGCCTTGTTGAAGTAGGAGTCTATCTCATCATACCAGGCTCTTGGGGCTTGTTTTAGTCCATACAAGGCCTTATTCAACTTATACACTTTGATTTCTTGATTTTCCTTCACAAAACCCTGTGGTTGCTCCACATAAACCTCATCCTTTAACACTCCATTCAAGAAAGCAGATTTGACATCCAGTTGATATAGATTCCATTCCTTCTGTGCAGCTAGGGCAATCAAGGTTCTAATGGTGTCTAACCTTGCCACTGGGGCAAAGGTTTCATTATAATAAATCCCAGGCTTTTGTGAGTAGCCTTTAGCCACTAATCTGGCCTTGTTTTTCTGCACAGATCCATCCAGATTTAGCTTTGTTTTATAGACCCACTTGACACCAATAATTGGTTTGCCAAACGGTCTTTCCACTAGTTTCTAGGTATTATTTTTCTCAATCATATCCAGCTCAGCCTTCATTGCCTTTCTCCATGACTCATCAAGATCAGCCTCTTCAAAACTTTCAGGTTCCACAATGCACATGTTGCACTGAGCCATGATTTCATTTACACTTCTCCATTTCTTTGGTGTGTGGTCAATAGCTTGAGGACTCTCACCAATGCCTTCATCTTGCAGAGTAGTATCTTCATCTTGAGTTTGTGTATCCAAGCTTTGACTTGGTTCAGCTTGTAGTGTGATTTCTTCGTCCATTTGCAGTGGTGTATCCAAGTTTTGACTTGGATCATAGTTTTGATTTTCAGTGGGCACAAGAACTGTCATTTCTCCTTCTCTAGCATTCTCCCACTTCCATAAGCCATTCTCATTAAACTGCACATCTCTGGACAAAATGACTTTTCTGGTGCTTGGATCAAACAGTATGTATCCCTTTTCACAGAGACCATAGCCTACAAAGATACACTTGTGACTGTTTTCTTCAAGTTTATGCCTCAATGCTGAAAGAATAAGCACATGACAAGGAGATCCAAAAAAATTTTAAATGTGCAATTCCTGGTTTTCTGCCAGTATAGGCTTCAAATGGTGTTATCTTATTGAGAGCTTTGGTGGGACATCTATTCAGTAGATAGACTGCAGTATTTACAGCTTCTGCCCAAAATTCATAAGGAATACCCTTCTCATGCAGCATGGATTTGGCCATTTCCACTACTGTCCTGTTCTTCCTCTCAACTACCCCATTTTGCTGAGGAGAGTATGCCACAGTTAACTGCCTTTGAATGCCAGATTCCTCACAGAACTTGTTGAATTCTCTAGATAGGAACTCTCCACCCCTGTCACTTCTCAAACCTTTTATCTTATACCCACTTTGCAGCTTAGTCATAGCCTTGAATTTTCTGAAACATTCCAATGCACTTGACTTATTTCTGATGAAATACACCCATGACATTCTAGTGCAATCATCTGTAAATAGCAGGAAATACTTGTTCCCAGAAAGAGATTCTGTCTTCATTGGTCCACAGATATCTGTGTGAACCAATTCCAAAAGACTTGTAGCTCTCCAATTTGATTCCAAAGGAAAAGAATCTCTATGTTGCTTTCCTTGCATACAACCATCACAGACCACTGAAATCTACTCCAAAAATGGTAAGCCATGAACCATGTCTTGATTTTCAAGCAATTTTATGCTTCTTTCATTTAAGTGCCCGAATCTCTTATGTCATGTCTGCAAGCAGTGTGTAACACTTGCTTTCAAAACCAAATCACTTGCACGCATCATTGTAAGTGGAAAACATCTGTTGTTTGTCATTTGCACCCTCACAATCAGATTTTTCAGTGACTGATCATCATCAACATTCACCATATTCCCTCCAAACACAAGATGGTATCCATGCTCCATCATTTGCCCAACACTAAGCAAGTTTTCTTCAAGGCCAGGTACAAGCATTACTTCTTGAATGTGCTTCTTACCCAACTTGGTTTTTATCACCAGAGTTCCTTTTCCAGCAACTGGAACTACTTCTCCAGTTCCCATCTTCACTTTAGAGGTTAAGTTTCTTTGAATATTCACTAAAAGTCCCTCATCTCCTGTCATGTGGTTACTACAACCACTGTGAATATACCAAGAATGATTCACTTTCACGTCTGTTGCAGCATTACACACATAGAATAGAGTGCCAGTTTCCTCCACTTGATTTGCATAATTCACCTTATGTGCATTTTTGTTCCCATTGCAGTCTCGGATCATATGTCCAAATTTCCCACATCCATGGCATTTAGGTTTCCCTTCAAACCAACATTTTCCATAATGTAACTTATCACAATGCTTACAAGCTCCTTTGTTTCCATCATTAGAAAAACTCCCACTCTTAGACTTCTTTTCCTCAACATTCAGACTAGCAAAAGCCCTCTCTGTAGAATTCTAAGTGTGCCTATCCAATCTGAGCTCAAAGCTCTTCAAGGAAGAAATGACCTCTTGAACTTCCAGAGTTTCAAGATCCTTCGAATGCTCAATTACATAACAAATGGAATCATATGATTTTGGAAGACTAAACAACAATTTCTGCACAACTCTCTCCCTAGATAATTCCTCACCATAACTCTTCATTTGATTCAACATATCAAACAATCTAACAAGATAAACAGATAAAGATTCACTATCCTTTATGCGAGTATATTCAAATTCCCTACGCAACCCTTGCAATTTTACATTTCTTACCTGTTTATCACCTCTGAATTCCAGCTTCAGAATATCCCAGGCACCCTTTGAGGTCTCCTCATTCACAATTATGGGGAATAGCTGATCTGAGACTGCACTTTGAATCAATCCAAGTGCACGAGCATCCTTCATCAGAATCTGAGCCATCGTAGACTTCTCAGTATCCGTAGCCTCCTCTTTCTCCTTCTTCAGATCTGAGCTATTGAACCCATTCTCGACTAGCTCCCACAATCCATGAGATCTCGTAATGGTTTTCATCCTAATACTCCAAAACTCATAGTTTTCTCCATTGAAAACTGGCCAGTGATGAAGGATGTATGGGCTTGGTCCTCAGGGTGCATGAAGATCTGGTTGTACCCTAAGTAAGCATCCATGCAATTGAGGAAGGCATGGCCAGCTGTGGCGTCGACGAGCTGGTCAATACGGGGTAAGGGGAAGCTATCCTTCGGGCAGACCCGATTAAGATTGGTGTAGTCCATGCACATGTGTCATCCCTTTTTGTTCTTGCGGACCATCACCACATTAGCCAACCAGGTGGGATAGTCCACCTCCTTGATGAATCCGATGCTACTCAGCTTATCCACATTTGCCTCATGGCCTCATACCGCTCTGGGTCATAAGCACGACGCTTCTGCCGAACGGGTCGGACAGCAGGATTAATACTTAGCTGATGGGAGATGATGTCTGGTGATATGCCAAGCATGTCATTGTATGACCAAGCGAAGACCTCAGAATTAAGGCGGAGGAAAGCGACAAGCTCATAGCGAAGCTCTTGTGAGAGGGAGGTGCCGATCCTGACCTGCCGATCCGAGATATCATCATGGAGAGTAACTAGCTCAAGGTCTTCCACAGGTCCGGCCTGTTGGCTGACAGATTCCTCCCTAGAGTCTTTTGGTCGCTCGGTGCCAGCTTGAGGTGGGGCTGGTGCCTGGGTTACTGCGAGGGCCTCACCCCTATGTTGGCGATTGGTGGACTTCACTGCTGAAGCATAGCAGCTTCGGGTGCCAAGTTGGTCGTCGCGTACTGTGCCCGTGCCATAGGGCATAAGGAATTTCAGCAGTAACATATGCGTGGAAATGAAGACTTTCATTTGGGCCATGGCAGGGCGCCCAAGAATGACGTTGTAGGCTGTTGGGCAATCAATAATGAGGAAGGGAGTAGTGATCGTCCTTCGCTAGGGTGCTGCTCCAATAGAGATGAGGAGATGAATGCTTCCAATGGGCTGGACCACCTCACCAGAAAAGCTCACAAGGGGTGTAATGCTTCGGTCGAGCAAGTGAGACGGGACTTAGAGCTCGTTGAAAGCATCAGCAAACATCACACTGACCGAGCTGCCAGTGTCCACCAAGATACGCCCAACTTCGAAGTTAGAAATGTTGGCATGGATAATGATTGAGTCATCATGAGGGAGAATAACATCGCGCTCCTCCTCCTCGCAGAAGGTAATGGGAGCCCAGCCTGATTTATGTGTCTTCGGCAGGCGTCCCTACTCAACGCTGAAGACCTGGTGCGCATAGGTGGAGCGGACATAATGCTTGATGGAGTTGTTGGAGGTTCCAGCCAGGGTAGGACCACCACTAATAGTTGAGATCATGTTGATCTGCCGTTGGTGAGGGTTAGGTGGGGTGGGAGATTGTGCACGTATTTATCCAGCTTCCCCTCACGAATAAGTCCTTCAATGATGTTGCGTAAAGCAACACAAGATTCGGTATCGTGGCCACCGAACTAATGAAAGCGACAGAAGACACCTGTGTTAGGTATAGGCTTGCTGCCTGGTCTCCGGGGGGGGAGGCTTGGGTATGATAGGTGCCTCGTGCACCAGGACATTCTCGTAGGTAGTGTTCAGGGTGGTGAAGACCTCGAATCTAGGCTTGGGTGAGAAGGGGAGTAGAGCCCAATCACCTGTCCTGTGTGGGTTGCCTCCGCTGGACTGGTGGTGGTTGCCATGTCTGCCTCGCTTGTTATTGCTGAAGGTATGCTGGTAACTATCCTTCCGCTTGGGGTGCTAGGCACCCTAGGTACTTGTGGCGGGAGTAGAATGTTCTTGTCAAAGAATGAGGGCACGATGTGATGTGATCTGTGGCCCCACTATCGATGATCCAATGATCCAGGGATGTAGAAGGTATAAACAAACCTGAGGTGCAAGTGGTGGTGTGGACTTGAGGATTGTGCTGCTCAGCATGATTGGTGTTCAGCATGGCATAAATTTGTTGAGACTGTCATGCCGACAGATTAGGCATGGTGGTTTGAATCTCTTGAAGAGATGGGTTGGAGCTAACTTGATTTGCAGAGGAAGACCCATCACTGTGTTTGTTTCGCCAGCCTTGTGCAGTCGGTGGCCTAGAGGATATCCATTAAGCTTCCAGCAAGTCTCGTTAGTGTGATGATCTACATCACAGTATGTACAGTGCAAGGGCTTCCTCTTTGGATTAGAAGTTTTCTGGTCTTGGCATACCGTCATGGCTGCATACTCGATATGTAAAGAAGAAGAACCTAACTCTCATTGTTTCTCCTCTTAACAGATTAAGGAATAAGCTTTGTGAGTGGAAGGTAGGGGTTGCATAAGCAAGATTTGACCACACAAGGCTTTCAAAGATTTGTTCAATCCCATAAGGAATTGCATCAACGCATTTCGCTTCTCTCATTCGACGTGTTTCTTCATGGCGCCGCAAGTGCGGAATGGAAAGTCACTATAAGATGCTAACTCATCCCATAGTGCTTTCAATTTGGTGTAGTATGCTGCAACAGATCGCTGGTCTTGGGTGAGCGAATAGAGGTCCAGTTGAATCTGAAAAATTATGGGTGCGTTGCTTTGGGAAAATCGTTCCCTGAGATATTCCCAAATTTCATAGGCTGTTGTTGAATAAATTACCTATCAACGATGTCGAGTTCGAGCGTGTTGAGAAGCCCTGAAAGAACCATGTCGTTGCAAAGTTTCCAAAGAGAAAATTCATCGGGATGAGTCTTTGCCGACGACATCTTAACAGTACCATTGATAAAATCGAACTTGTTCTTGGCACTAAGAGAGATACTAATGGAGCGGCACCAAGCTAGTTGTTCCCATTGAGAGGTTTGGAAGCGATGACCATGCCTGGATGGTCAGAATGGTGAATGAAAAAGGGACCGGAAAAGTCAGACTTGTCTCCATCCTCGGTTTCTTGATCCTTACCCATTGAAGAGTTAATGAAACAAGAAGGAAAAAAAGCTTGCTATGTCAGAGCAAAGGTTGACGGCAAAGAATAAAGAGCTAGGGTTTTCCCTGCTCTGATACCATGTAAAATTGGTATAAGAATATAATTGCCAGAATGAATTTCTCATTAACCAAGCAATTGGATTTATTCAGAGGTTGTCCAACAATTAAGCAATCTAGTCCTACAATTTAGTTGTACAAACTTTGGTAAGTAAAAATACATAATCAATTACAAATTTAAACAATGAAATAATTTCCTAACTAATCCCCGATTGTGTGGGATATTTTGAATTCTCAACACAATGAGCCCTCTGTCCCACACTTCTATACAGAAGCAAGTGTAGTTCACCACTTCCAAGGATGGTGAATCAAAGAGGTAGGCAGCCCTGGTTATCGACGTTTTCGCAAAGGTTGCTGGTTTGAGGGTAGGTTAAGGTATTAAAGGTTTTCGGACTTCCATGCCATTTCACTGATGAACCATAAACCTCACGAATATCACTAACTATGGTTATAAATGTCTTGCCATATATCAATGGCATAAAGAGTAGTTTGACGAGCTTTCGACATTAAGGGCCAGTCTAGTTGGGGAATTTCAGGTGGGACAGGAATATGCGGGATCGGGAGAGCATAGCTTTGCAGCGGAGCATTTAGCAATGTCAACAGCCTAGTGAGGGCTAGCTGTCTGGGGACAGGTTAAAGCTGGGCATGTGGTCTCTTTCCTTGCCAGATGGTAGAGGTCGTTCCCCTCTTCGCAAAATGAGGTTTTAATTTACAAAGGTTTCGCTCCTTCCTTGCACTAAGGCACAAATATTGGTATTAATTAAACAATTAATTTCTATTTCTCGTTATCATGGCTCTAGAACAAAAATCATGGAAGTTAGCCTAAGTTGATAAAAGGAACTACTATGGACGAAGAACCTTTCTTTAAGACCACAATAGCACACGAGCATTTTAGCTTGTTTTTGTAACATTGATCATCATAATAACAAGTTGGGCTCTTGTTATTGTGGTTTTCATCATTATAGAAACAAACTAAAATGTCGGCGCGGTATTAAAGAAAGATTCTTCGTCCAGTAGTTCTTCTTAAAGACATCCGCACAATAGATACTCATGTTAGATAAGATCTTCGTCCATCGAGCAATACTGGCCAGTTCTCCTGTGATCACAATAATAAAATCATCAATAGAAGGTCCCACAACGACTCAACTAGTCCAGCCATACATTCCTCAACAAACCCGCAAGACCAAAGACCCCAAGGACAAAAACACTCCTTGAGATTCATGATTGAGAAGGAAAAACACTAAATTAGTGCAAGAAAATGCTTGAAGAAACTAAATACTTATAGAAGGTAAGCAGATGAAGCCGGCAAGAACGGTCGGAGAAATTGAACAGAGAAAGAGTACGAGGCCTGGTGTACTCTGCAAAGAAAACCCTAAGAAAAAAAAATGAACACCTTTGAGAAACGAAGGCTTTATTCTCCGCAGCGAAACGAGACCACATTTACCCCACCTTCCTTTCTACGTGGCAAAAGGGTGAAAAGAAAGCATTCTCAGTATAAATGACCATCATTAACCACCCAAAAGCACGTGAAGAGAGTGAGCAACCCTACGAATCGGGAGTTCGCTCTTAACTAAAGACTTGGGGGCCTAAAAAAGAGAGAGAAATAAGAATAAGATAGGAAAGCTAAGGAAGCTCTTCGAGCCATTGGCTAACCTTGTCATGACCAAAGAAGTCCTCGACCAAAGGAACTGTTGAAGGACTTGGGGGGCTTCTGTTGATACCAAATACCAATTATGGCCACCTAGAAAAATCCCAAGAAACATAGACCCATATCACTTGAGGAAGTGGCTGGACCTGAGTGATTGGTAGGCTATTATATACTAGCCTTCCCTCGTGTGGGAAGGCCGCCCTAGGCCAAGCATGGCAAAGAAAAGTTTCCCTGGCCCAAACAATGTTTATACAATTGTTGCCAAGCATGTCATCCCAAGCATCTGACAGCAAAAGTCTCGCACGTAAGGACCAAAAGCGCCAGAAACGGGGCCCGTAGCTTATCCCACTAATATGCACTATTCTTAAGAAAGGAAGGGAAACGTGCCACACTCCCACCACCCACCCAATCCAAGGACGCCTCGTAACCAAATACTCAACAGTCCAACATCAGAAAATGACGGAAAAGAAGTCTCATCCTTTACACCTAAAAAAAGTAATATGAACTTCCTCCATACTTAGTGTCACAACCCAATTCGAAAATCAAGAATATTCCAGAATCAGGGTGTGAGTCATACCATAGTCATAAGAATAAAATCCTACAACCATGATATGATGAGAAAAAGAGCCACAAATAAATACAAATTTACCCAACAAGACAGAATCAGAGTCGTAGTAGCTCGTAGTTAATTACACACTAAGATCTTTATCAAACCGTTGACTACTTACAAATGTTAATTACACAAATCAACAACAAAAGCCTAGTAGCTTGGTTGAAACCTGCTTCCTCGAACTTCGCCTTGAATCCTGCATAATCTATTAGGGTATGAGCATTCTAATGCCCAGTAGAGTACCGTCGAACCCCTCAAGGTCAATTATCACAGTTAATCAAAGTGTCATGCATCAAACAACACAAGATATATAAGTTATGCAATCAGACTAAATAAATAAATTTGCATATGTGGTGATGCCATGAGCTCACTCCCTTCTAATCCCACTAATTCATACCTTAGGGGCAACAAGCTTGCATGTCCCATACATGCATTTTACCACTGTGGCTCCAAATACCCTAAAATATGAACTAGTGCCCATCCGTCCCTTAACCCATTTTTATTTTGTTTACGAATTTCTCAACTTTCAGTTTTCATTAGAGGCTCTGCTCTCATCACCTCAATATATTCAAGCCCTGCTCCCATCACTTGAATATATTCCACATTTTTATTTACTCAGATATATCTAAGGCATTCTCCCACCCCTTAGATATACGTCAAACCACACACACCTCAAACACCACTGTCTTTATGATGCATATGTAATACAGAGCAAACATCAGTTATTTCTGCTGAATAAGAATACAGATAAACAATAATATTTCATATTTAATCACATGAATAATAATATTCACCCAACATCAAATAAAATCCACGAAGAAACATCAATGATAATATTCACATAACATCAAATAATATTCGCCGAGCAAAACAACAATAATATTCATATTTATAGTACTATATTTAAGCACCAAGATTAAAAGTGACATATCCCAATTATCGAGAATCAGGAAACCCTACCTCATGTCCAGCTAGCTAAAGTACCAAATTTACCCTTCAGAGATTCTCAGAGTTGTCGAATCTACACTTTTGATCCAATTCCTGAATAAATTCAAATCCAAATTATTATTGAGCAGTCTTTGCTTTATTTCACCTAAGTCCAACCTCAACCTTATGCATTTCAAAGATTTTGCGTAAAAATGACGAAAATATCCTTAGGACCAGCACGGGGTCCAAAGCAGTCAAATCTCGTCCAAAATAATCTAAAACTCTGTCCTATACCCTGTCAACACCAGAACAAGGCCAACTACACCCGTTATCCAAAAGTTACCATTTGGGCTCGTGGGCCCCACAACAACTCGTACTTTGCACCACCTCTGATTGACTCAAAACATATACCATCGGACTCGGATCAAGAAATCAAGTCGGATGAACTAAAAATATGGCATCGGAGGCTGCCGGAACAGCCGCCACTTGCTGGAGCCGTGAGTGGCTTGTTTCTGGTTACTGTTCATCGTCTTCCCCAAAAAAAATCCTGCAACTTCCCCTGTTTTTCAGTTTAAATGTCAGATTTTGTGAGACATTTTGACCAACCTAAAGTTAATGAAACTGAGCAAACTTGCAGTGGATTTGAATCTTATTCTCTCTAGTTTCTAACCCAACAAAGCACACTCAAAATGGAGCTAAAACGAAGGAGAAAACTAGTTCCAAAGTTGGACTTGTGGCTGGTTTTTCTGCAGAAAACAGATTTTTTCCGAACTTTGCACATATGTTTGACGTATAAAAACTCAACCAAATTTGACGAAACGACTTGTGTTTTGTTCCTTGACAAGTTTAGTTTAAAACACAATAAATGGTTTCCTAAAAAACGCAAAGTATTGGGAGAAAAAGAGAGCCAAATTGAGGCTCACGGACTGCAAATTTCCAGATTTGGTTCTAAGTCGTTTTCAACCATTATATCACTTCCAAGTTGTTCCTAAGGCTTCTAAAACTCTTCTAAAGTTCATACCTATCATTAGAACTCATCAAAAACTCAAAATGGAACCAAAATCATAAACACCCACACTTGAAAAATTGCTCTATGCACCCAACCCGAAAATAGAAGTTCAAACTCTTCCAATTCAATTTCCCCATAACATATTTGTCTGTTTCAAGAACACTAAACCATCTTATATTAGAAAGTCCCTTCCGCTCTAGGTTAGGGTTTTGTGTGCCGTCTTTGCTTCCACGTTACGGCAAGCCTCCGCCTTGCTCTCCTAGTCTATGTGGGACTGGTTCGACGGTCTGCAAGTACTTGGGGAAGTGGGATATCAGTTCTCTGCAGTGTGTGCGAGTTCCTTAATAGCATTGATGGAGTCTATAGATGAGATTGCGCAAGGCATCTCTAATGCTTTGGCGATTTCAGAAGAGGAGGCCATTGAGATTGTGAGTTTGGAAGATCAGGACAGTTCTCGAGCCGAGCGATTCTTACTGGTGGGTCGTTTGCTCACGCCAAAGGTCTTTCGTCGGGATTCCTTGGTTGGGACCACGAAGTCGATTTGGCATACGCGTGAAGGGTTTACAGTCGTGCCTCTTAATGACCCTCAATGTATGCTCTTCTCTTTCCAGAATGATTTCGATCGACGCAAAGTAATGAGGGGTGCTCCATGTACTTTTGACAGATCTCTTTTGGTTTTGGCTTTCACCGATGGAAGATGAAAGATGACCATGACAGTCCCGTTGGAGATACAAAACTTCTGTGTTCGAATCAGGTGTATCCCACCAATTTTCTTAACTCCGGCTTTGGGTGAAAAGATTGGTAATCATATTGGCAGATTCGTGGCAGTTGATAAAGGGATGAATGGGGATTGTTTAGGGAGTTTTCTACGTGTGTGAGTTGGTTTAAAGATCAATGAGCCGTTAAAGCGATGTATCACTCTATGGTTGAATCCGGACGAACCAGCAAAGCAATACGACATCGAATATGAATGCTTACCCTTTTTTTGTTTGTTTTGTGGCCGACTTGATCATGTTGGGTTGGGTTGTGCTTTGAAAATGTCAGTTGATGTTGTTACGGAGCAATATGGATGATGGAAAACACAGATAAAGGATGTTTTTAGTATCAGGGTGGTCAATGGCCTTAAGGGTAAAGTGTTTGGACTTGGACCTTGTAGTCGGCTACAAGCGCAAGCAAATGTAAGAATATTTTATAAATATTGTGTGGCCCACATGAAGTGACCTATGTGGTAAATAAATTGTTTAATTGGTTTAATAAATATTATTCAGAATAATTATATTGGTCAAATAAAGAGAAGTAGTTTCCTATTATTACCGTGATGGGTGGTAATTGATTATGGGCTTCACTAGGAAACGGGTCCTCTCTCTGCCTATAATAGTGCACATACCCATCTTATGTGTACACTGATGAAGACACGAATTAGGGTTTTTTCTAAACGTGCAAAAGGCCAGAGAGAGAAATCTATTTCCTCCACACTGACGGCTCGCCTACGGATCGCTCAAGGCAAATATCTTCATATGTTAGAAGACTAATCATTCAAGGTATGTATGTAATTTAAGTCTAATTGAATTTCTGCATAATGTTATTGTGAAAATCATGAAGTTCAAGATCTCGGGTCATGTATTGGGTTCTTATGGTTTTGCCCAATATTAAGTTTACATGTGGTATCAGAGCATGGTTAAGAACTTTCATGATTTTCCATTATGAATTTTACGATTTGATTTATACTTATTTGAATCATATATATGTATGTATTGGTTGTGCCGTATGAAATATGTACCATTAAACCAAGAAGGATTACTTTCATTTAGTTGGCAATATGAATGGTCAATCTTATGAATATTATTTCCTTTTGGTTATGGTGCTGTATCCATGAAGTCGTTTTAACATGCTTCTCTATGCACTTCACCGTGCAATCATATGGATGTGCCTGCAACTATGTATTTTAATTGCATTAGAGAGATATAATATATATTTGTATATACGATGTTATTAAAGCATATTATGTCTCGGTGTAAGTGCTTTTGGTTACATATCAGTCAGTTTTGCATAATTGAATTGGAGTGCTAATGGCTATGCATTTACTTGGCTATATGATTATTTTCAAATTGAAAAACGAATCTGTCAATTGGCAAATTATGATTTCATTAATTATGATGCTGACAGGAAGAAATAATACCAGTTTTACTGTGAATTTATATTATTATGAGGAAATCTTAATGAATTGATGTATTATTAAATATATGACCACTTATGAACTCATGGTATAATCCTGGTGTAGACATTTACAGTGAATTAAAGTTATTATAATATAAATATATTTGAACATATTGTATTTCATTGTCACTGTACTTTGTCTTATGATCTAAAGGTCTATTGCCCACTACTGTGTTAAAGGGTCATATATTTATTGGTTAATCTAATGATCGGTTAACCATTAAAGTGTATTAATTGATCTTATGTAATCCATTAACTGTTAATTTAATTTGACATTCATATTATGAATAGTTTGTTAGTCACCAAAGTGGCCAAGCTAGAACGTTCCTTGAATATCAAATTAATTAATCTAATGATCGATTAATCATTAAAGTGTATTAGTTAATCTTATGTAATTGATTAACTAATATAGTTGTTAATTTAATTTGACGTTCATATTATGAATGGTTTGTTAGTCACCAAAGTGGCCAAGCTAGAATGTTCCTTGAATATCAAATTAAATGATAATTAATCAATTACTTGTGATTTAAGGATGCATATAAATGAGGTTGAACCTTATAATGTTTTTAAGGTTCGAACGTCATGAGTATATTGATTTTCGTCATTCATAAGATATATGGATCACCCAAAGGTGGATCCACTATTCATATGATTGGTGATATAAATGAGGTAACTTGTAGATGTCTTATTTAGATTTGTTTTGGATATCCAAAGATATCAAAGCTTTTCTAACTAGGAATACAATACCAATAATGTTCGAACGTCATGAGTATATTGATTTTCGTCATTCATAAGATATATGGATCACCCAAAGGTGGATCCACTATTCATATGATTGGTGATATAAATGAGGTAACTTGTATATGTCTTATTTAGATTTGTTTTGGATATCCAAAGATATCAAAGCTTTTCTAACTAGGAATATATACCAATAATGTAAAATAGATGCATCATAATTGTTAATTATTGGTACTGTCATAGTTTATCCCAAAGGAGAGTTATGATGATACGTCTATTGATGGTCAGACTATATAAGTCTTATATATTTTATTTTTGTCACTCAAAGCATTAGTATTCTGAGCATATTACAAATTATGTTGCAATGTCGCTTTCAGGTTCGCTTCACTCTTATGTTTGATATAGTTTAGATTTAATTTCTCATTTTGTTGTGAACAAGTCCAGTATCACCAAAGTGTTCTAGGTCTTGATTAGGCATTTCAAAATGAGAAACTCATTGCTATTATGGTAAAGCATTGAGGATTAAAGAGCCTGTAAAAGATCAAACATATTGAGCTTTATGTTTATGCAAATAAATAGACATTGCAATATAAATTAAGGCTATGCTCCATTAATGTGAATAATGCTAAAGAATTCTTTAGAATTGCTAACAAATCCATTACATGGACAATATTGGTTGACCTTACCATCATGAAATTTGATGGTTTGCGAAGCATGAATGAGTGTATTATTGAGCATACTGATTAAGCGGCAAAACTGAAGTCCTTGAGATGAAGAAGAAGGAAAATGAAATTCACCTATGTAGAAGGTGAAGCATTTACAGAATATGATTCGAAAAGAAAGGTAAGTCTTCTGCTTTTATGTGTTTCGAATCAATTTTTAGATGAATTTTCATATGATGCTTGATGGATTAAATTATGTGCTAAAATTCATGTTTCTAACAGTTCAATGCAAAGTTGCTTTTGATTTCACTTTTTGGAATTATATATTCAATTTAATGGCCATGATTTAGATTTATTGAAAGCGTATTATGTTCTTACTATTTCAAATCTAGTTGGAATTTTGTTTGGAATTTGGCAATAATGTTTTTTCCTTTAAAGTTTGGTGATGATTGTTTTAGTCTCTTAAAGAATGCCTATTTTGTTAATTGTGGTATTCTATTAATGATTTACGAAATTAAAGTATGATGACTTTTTTCTTTAAATGTTTTTGATACTTTGCATGATTGATTTAGAAGTGACTGCTATTTGACAAATTGAAATTTAATGTTCTTATGGCATAAATGAATGGTAATGTGTTCAGAGAAAGAACTAAGGGATCAGTAAGGAATGAGGTTCTTCTGAACCTATATTTTATTGATCTCTTATTGGTGTGTAAGTGGATTGTATTAAGGAAAACAATTTTAATACACCAAGAAAGATGCCATAAGAAATTTTTAGCTAATTGAAATTATTTATAAAACATGTGTTCACCTTATAATGCTCTGTCCTTTGGTTAGGGGTATGTGAAGTAATTTATCATTACGTATACCATTATGGATACATGTTCTTACTACAACTATTATGCTAATTGGGTTCCTATTAAGGCAGTTTCAAATAAGAAATTATTTGAACTGCGGAAAGTAAGGAAATCCAATTTAAGGCACCATTATGTTTTGGGTTGCTTAGTGGGAGTAAGAATGTAATGTTCACATGAGAAGGGATTGGACCTTCAGAATGTTTTTTTGATAACCTTATTGGTTACCTAGAAAAGTACAAATGGTATAGATTTTATTGTCCTAACCAGGGTATGAGATTATTGAAATAAGTAACGTCAGTTTCATTTTAAATGGTGAAATTAGTGGGAGTGGATAACCAAGAAAATTGGTTTTATGAAAAGTTAGTGTGCAAATTTTTGCATGCGTACTTCATAATGAAATTGTTATTCCTACAGTTGTGAACAGTTTTAACAACAATGAATAACAAATTAATAAATAACTAATCACTCCATTATGACTACTTCACCGGTGAAAGTGTAGTATAGACCCACAAAGAATAGCATTAAGATGATATCAAGACATTAAGCATGTTGGTATCTGCTACTCTAAGTGATTATTTGGTATATCTACAAGAATCTGACTGAGTGTTACGAAAGTTTTTGATTTTATTTTCACATGTCGTTAAACATATATTGATTCTACTAAATAGATTTATGCCGTGAATGATGAGTTGAAATTAATTTGCCATAATGAAGTTTGTGATTTCATCGATTTGCCTGCAAAGTACGAGTTGTGTGTAAGAGTGTCTTCATGACTACATTCAACTCCAATGGCAATATAGATGGATATAAAGACACACTATTGGCCAACGATTTTACTAAGAACGAAGGTATATGTTATAAAGTGACATTCTCACTTGTTTCTAAGAATGACTCACTTGGAATCATATAGTGGTATTTGTAACTCATTATGAATTAGAGTTACATTGTATGGATGTGAAAAATAAAAGATTAGATGAGTGTTTAATAGAGAAGTCTGCATGAATGAACCTGAGGACTTTTCTTTTATTGAAAGAAACACATGCTTTGTAAACTGAAGAATTCATTATATAAAATTAATAATTTTAATTTTAATTTTAATAGTAAATTTGGCTTACACCCTTCAAATTCAATTTGCCGTACCTAAAACCCTTCACTTTTTGTTCCTATAAATAATACCCAATTTGTATAAGTAAAAACCCATGACTAGGATCCAACTCAGCAAGTTACCTAATTAAGCATAAAATCTGATTTATTGTACTTTTCAGATTCCAAAAATACCCCCAACTAAGCCATTATTGCATTTTGTATATTAATGTAGGAATCAATATGGAAACAGTTTTTAATTGAATTGTATATAATGACATATGTTGAATTTGGAAAGATCTCCAAATGGTTGTAATGGATGTAGGAATTAATTTTAGAACATTTTTAAAAAAATTTAACAATAAATTCAAATTTAGGTAATCGGTTTGTTTAATAAAATGTTTATGTTATTTTCTTTTTATGAATTATACATGACTAATAATCCACTTTATAATTGTTTATGAATAAAACTGTACATACTAATTATGTTGAAAAAATAATGTACCTATTACTTGTTTGTTTTATGAAAAACATAATTTACCTAGTATGAAAAGTGTACATAATTATCTATTCCAAATAATGTACCTATACACATTTACAGGTATATTGTAAAATAATTTACCTGTGGGTAAATAATGTACCTATATTTTATATAAATTATTGTGTACCTATTTTTAATTATGAAAAATATATGCAATTACAAAGTAACTGACTTTTTTTTTTTTTGGTAAATAATATACCTATATTTTATAGGGAGTTTCACTAAAACACCCAAAATGAGGGTTGAAATTATAAAAAAACCCAAGGACTATTTAAACATATAAACACACCCAAAACCCATCATTACACACACTCAAAACCCATTTATAAACACACCCAAAAAGTTGACTTTGGGGTTGATTTTGGGTGTGTTTCTATGTTTAAATAGTGCTTTGGTTTTTTTATAAATACATGTCTAGAATTGGGTTTATTTATAAATTTATATATTTTATATGTATATATTTATATTATATTTTCATAGGTACATTATTGGATATGTAATTTATAGATTTTTTTTTGTTGTTGTAATTTTAGGGGGCGAGATGTGAGAGGGAATGACAACTAAAAGAAATGGGGTGATTGATATGCTATTAATAGGGAGTATATTAATTACAATTATGACAGTTAATGAAATGCTTGAAATAAATTATAAATAAAATATGAAGTTTGGTGGCAATGATGTAAAAACATAGAAATACTACGACCTCTTATATCCTACTAGTCGTTTAAATTTGAAATTGGGTTTTACACATAGATTTATAGAGTGATGGGTATATGTCTAGGAAATAGAAAATGTAGGGATCTATATTGGACAAACCCTAATTTTAATGAAAGCACTATTAATTGTTGTATGTATCTCAAGGTCAGTGGGAGTAAGTTTATATTTCTCATTTTGGATATTTATGCTATTTTGCTTGCTATGTATTGGTCTTGGTTTTCATTGTTGAAACCATTAAGCTTTTCTCTAAGAACCTTGAATGAAATATATGGATGAGACAATTTTTGTGATTGGAATTGAAATATTCTAGAATGGATCACATGAATTGTTAAGTTTGTCTCATTAAGCATATATTGTAAGTGTTCTAAAGAGACATGATATGGAATAATGTTTATCCATTAATGCTGCTCCAATTCAGGAAGGGGACAAGTTTAGCATTATGCAATGCCCATAAGAGTGAATTGGAACATTAACAGTACAATGAGAATTCATTATGCATATATGGTTTGCTTTGAGGCCATAGTTGATGAATTGAAGTTGCGGGTTTTAATCTTAGGACTTGGTGTTTATGTTTTATTGCCACGCCGCTAAGAATTTATGTTGATACCGCAATTGTCCTTTTCTCCAAGAATGACAAGTGTTCTAAGAGTGCTAAACATAGTGGAATTAAATACCTTGTCATTAAGGAGGTTCAGAAACAAAGAGTGTCTATAAAGACAAAACTTATGCTTGCAAACCAAGTAAAAGGTTCTGGCCAAAGACATTAATAGTTATATTCAGAGGACTGTTCTTGGTTATAAACCATGATAGTATTTATGAAGTTGTGGTTTGCATAATGACAGTTTATTTATTTTGACACTCTGAGCTCAATAATTGAATATGTTTCTGTTATATCCTGTTTTCCCTTATATGTATACATGAATGAGATTGGATGAATGATAACAGGAGTAGTCTCTGACAAAGACATTATTGGACCTTTTATGATACTTCTCACTTATGGACTGTTTTAGGCGATTTGCTAATGTTGTGGTACATGGAAGGGACTGTATCGCTTATTGATGCATAACCGCCATGACTCGCATTAGACATTTGCTTAAATGTGGTATTTATGTCGACCATATGAAAGTGAGGATTATTCTGAATGTATCGCGCGCCTAATGTTTATTTATTGAACCATAAAGTAAATTTATCATATGGGCCAAGTGGGAGAATGTAAGAATATTTTATAAATATTGTGTGGCCCACATGAAGTGACCTATGTGGTAAATAAATTGTTTAATTGGTTTAATAAATATTATTCAGAATAATTATATTGGTCAAATAAAGAGAAGTAGTTTCCTATTATTACCGTGATGGGTGGTAATTGATTATGGGCTTCACTAGGAAACGGGTCCTCTCTCTGCCTATAATAGTGCACATACCCATCTTATGTGTACACTGATGAAGACACGGATTAGGGTTTTTTCTAAACGTGCAAAAGGCCAGAGAGAGAAATCTATTTCCTCCACACTGACGGCTCGCCTACGGATCGCTCAAGGCAAATATCTTGATATGGTAGAAGACTAATCATTCAAGGTATGTATGTAATTTAAGTCTAATTGAATTTCCGCATAATGTTATTGTGAAAATCATGAAGTTCAAGATCTCGGGTCATGTATTGGGTTCTTATGGTTTTGCCCAATATTAAGTTTACAGCAAAACCTCAAAGGGATCCAATGTCTAGTGTGGTTCAGTCATTTGGGGAAGCTTTCGGTACCTTTGAAGATGGGGTGACGCCAATGGAAGAGAAGCATGAGACAACGTTTCTGTTGGAAGTTGGGGTCTCAAAGAAACGCAGATCTATGGGAAAAGAAGCTGATGAGCAGACTATACCGAAACCTAAGTCCCATGCAGAACAACAGTTTTGTGAAGTTCCAGTAACGACCTGTTTTGACTTTGGAAGCTCTAGCCTCAAAGGGTTGCACTTTGGAGGGAGTGTTTCTTCGGACCCTATAGAGAATGAAGGGGGGTGTTCCTAAATCCCCCTGGTGTCTAGTTCCGATGGGCAGGTTGCTATGGGAAAGAGAAAATGTGTCAAGGTTGGGGGTCAGTGTGTTCGGGGCAGTCTTCCAAAATCGGGTGCAGTGGAAAGTGTGGGGGATTCGAGTTTACGAAAGACTACTGGTTCTACTGGCAAATCCGTGATGGGCTCCGGTGAATGGGCCCATAACGAGAAATGACAATATTATGCTGGAATGTTCGTGGTCTGGGTAATCCACGAACATTCTGTGCTCTGAGGTACCTACTCATAGACAAAAAGCTCGATGTCATCTTCTTATCAGAAACCAAGAAGACGATACAACAAATGGTAGGGGTCAGTGCACAACTAGAAGCAATGGGTCATTTTAGTGTGAGTCGAAATGGTCGTGCTGGTGGATTGGCGTTATTGTGGCAGCACGGGGTGAAGGTTTCTATTCGTTCTTTTTCGTCAGGGCATATTGATGCCATGATTGAGGGTGTGGCACAAACTTGTTTCCATTTTACGGGTTTTTACATCGTTTGGCAGACGGATATTCGGGTCCATGGGTAGTGGGTGGTGATTTTAATGAAGTGCTGGAGCTTAATGAGTATTTGGGTAGACGATATAGACCAGCGTCACAAATGCGGGATTTTGTCATGGCTCTTGAGGATTGTGGTTTGACATTGATGAAGTATAAGGGTTACAAGTTTACTTGGACAAACAATCGAACTGGGGATGACAGAGTCCAACTTCGGCTGGATAGGGGAGTGGCGAATGCTGCGTTTTTTCAAGCTTTTCCGGGGGCAATAGTTCATCATGTGAACTCTTCGGTTTTAGACCACTTTCTTGTATCTATTTATTTTGGGGGCTCATATATGGTGCGGTGGGCTCGAAGATTATGTTTGAAGAAATGTGGACCGAAGTTGATGGGTGTACGGAGACAGTTGTTCAAGCTTGGGGTGAGGAACAAGGTGATGTGGTTACTAAGTTAGAAGCTTGCCAACAGTCCTTACTGGATTGGAATGAATCCATGGTGGGCCATATTCCCATGCAGATCCGACATATTCAAGGGCAACTTGATGGATTAAAAAAGAAACCGCAAACAGATGATGTGGTGCGATGTCAACGTAGGCTGACTGGTGAGCTGGATATACTACTTGCGAAGGAGGAGATGATCTGGCAACAAAGGTCTCGAGTATCTTGGCTTAAATATGGGGATCAAAGCACAAAATTCTTTCATGCACAAGCTAAAGAAAGGGGACGAAGAAATTTCATGCAAGGTATTTTAATGAGCATAATGTGTGGAATACTTCTAATGAAGGCGTTGGTTCCATTTTTTGTGAGTATTTTAAGAAGCTATTCACCACTAGTGGTGAGAATGATTTTAGCACTGTATTGGCTGCAGTGCAACCTAAAGTGACTCGAGAACACAATGAAAGACTGAGCCAGCCTTTTACTAGAGCCGAATTGGAGGATGTGCTCTCAAAAATGTTTCCTACTAAATCTCCTGGTCTTGATGGGATGCCAGCTTTGTTTTACCAGCGGTACTGGCATGTAATAATGATGTGGTCAGTTTTTGCCTAAATGTCCTAAATGGCAGGGCTAGTGTACGAGAGATCAACCATACTCTCATTACTCTTATCCCAAAGGTGGACAATCCCACACGAGTTACTGAGTACCGACTAATAAGTCTATGCTCGGTTCTCTATAAACTGATATCAAAAACACTGGTGAACAGAATGAAGGGTATTATGCAGGATGTCATCTCGGAGTACCAAAGTGCCTTTGTTCCTTCTCGGTTGATTACTGACAACATTATTGCGGCTTTTGAAAGCATTCATGCCATCCAAAGAAGGGGGGGGAGTGCTCTGAAAAAAATGGTTTTGAAGCTCGATATGTCAAAAGCCTACGATATAGTAGAATGGAATTTTCTGAGTTGTATGATGAGGAAATTAGGTTTCAATAACAGATGGGTGGATTTAATTATGGATTGTATTTCTACTATATCCTTCTCGGTGAAAGTTAGGGGGGCGGCAATGGGTTTCATTACTTCTTCTAAGGGTTTAAGACAAGGGGATCCTCTTTCGCCTTATCTCTTTCTCATTTGTGCAGAAGGTCTTTCGGCTTTGTTGTCTCAGGCTTAAAGTACTAAGAAAATTCGTGGTGTTGCAGTGGCCCAAGGCGCTCCTGCGTTGTCTCACTTATTTTTGCAGATGATAGTTTATTATTCTGCAATGCTCATTTATCTGACTGTTATAATCTGATGATTCTTCTTAGAGTTTACGAGCATGCGTCAGGCCAAAAAATTAATTTTGCGAAATCTGCAGCAAGCTTTAGTCCTAAAACAGATCCAATCATGAAGTGTCTTATTTCATCCATGTTGGGAGTACGTATTGTGGATTGTCATACACGTTATCTGGGGTTGCCTACTATTATTGGACAGAGTAAACATCGCTTGTTTAATTATGTGAGGGACATGTTGTGGAACAAGCTTCATATGTGGAATGCTAAATTATTGTCAATGGCAGGGAAAGAAGTTCTTATTAAAGCAGTGGCTCAGGCGCTCCCAACATACATAATGGGGGTGTTTCAACTGCCAAAAAGTTTATGTCAGGAATTATCAGCAATGGTGGTGAGATTTTGGTTGGGGAAGTTAGGTAAAAGGAGCATACATTGGAAGAGCTGGCGGAATCTGTGTCTGCCAAAATGCTTAGGAGGACTGGGGTTCAAAAATTTTGAAGCTTTTAATCAAGCCATGGTAGCCAAACAAGCATGGCGGTTGTAAGAGAACCCTTCCTCTTTGGTTGGTCGAATCCTTTGAGCTTGTTATTTTCCAAATGGTGATTTTCTATAGCTGGGTATGGACAGTCACCGTCTTTAATCTGGCGCTCAATTCTGTGGGGAAGACAAGTTATTGAACAGGGCCTTATTTGGCGCATTGGTGGTGGGACTTCTGTGAGGGTATTTCATGATAAATGGATTCCAAAACCTTATACCTTTTCGCCCCTCATAAATAGAGGTCTTCCTCCAGAGGCCAAGGTTTCTGATCTAATTACGACGTCGAGTGGGTGGAATAGGACTCTCCTGGATCTTTCTTTTTGTGACGAGGACTGTGCGGCAATTCTGAGTATTCCTTTGCCATCAGTGGGATCTCTTGAAGATAAGCGCTTCTGGTTTTTCTCAAAAAATGGTAAATATTCGGTGAAGACTGGATACCGCCTTGATTTAAGACTTTGTGATAAAGAGGTCAATGGGGAGATTGGAGGCTCCAACTCTGGAACTCAGCGCGCATTTTGGAAAAAACTTTGGCACTTGGAAGTTCCAAATAGGTTAAAATTCTGCTTTGGAAGGCAAGTTTAAATATTTTTCCTACAGCATTAAACCTAGTTCAGAGAAAGGTATCTGGTTGTGGGACGGCGACGGAGGATGTTATCCATGCTTTTTGGGGCTGTAAACACAGCAAACGGTTTTGGGTCTAACTTCCTTCAACATTGATTCGGCGGTTAGACAAGGCTCTTTTGCAAATTTTTGGAGGTTATGTTCCTTACTATGTCAGATTGTGATTTAGAACGTTTTGTGTGTTGTTGCTGGAGAGTTTGGAAGCTTCGCAATGAGGTGCTCTATAGAAGACCGTTGATGGGCTTCCTGAGATTGTAGAGTGGACCATGGAGTTTTTGGAGCAGTTTTTAAAATACATAATACTTGCACCAAGCCAGCAAGGGTGCCACAATTATTAGATGGATTAAACCTCCCTCTTCTTCTTTGTTATTGAATTGTGAGGGGCGATTGGACAAGCTGGGTGTAATAGAGGGTGGGTGGTGCCTTAAGAGACTCCGCAGGCAACTTTATTTTGGGGTTTGCCGATCAAGGCCCAGCAGGTTTGGATGTTTTGGCTACTGAATGTGTAGCTATACACATGGGATTATTGAAGGCTGCTGAGTTGGGAGTCTCTGATTTTTTGGTAGCATCAAACTCGCAGGAAGTTGTGGCTTTGCTGAAAGGAAATGGAGAGCTCTGGAGTAATCTGGGTAATATTGTGGATGACATTAGAAGGTTGCTAGCAGAATTGTGTGTTCGTGATGTTTTTTTTCAGCCGCGTTCGGTAATCGGGTAGCTCACTCTTTGGCACAGTTTGGGCTACGAGAACAGCATCATTCTTTCTGGGATGGTCTTGCTCCTGACTGGCTTGTATCATTGTTGGTAACAGACATGGAGGGTGGGTAGTTGTTTGGGTTTCAGTTTCGGATGCTATGGTACTCTTTTTCCTTGACCGGATTTCCTCATTAGAGGTTTTATGGCAAGATTTTAATGAGGCCACTCTTGTTGCATCCATGTTTTGATTGCAAATGTATGGTTGTTGGTTGGAATGAAAGTTTCTTACTCTTTGATAAAAATAAAAAAATAAAAAAATTCCTCATCACTCAAATGACTCAAAATACTCTTTAAGGGACTAGAAACACACAAACACAAAGTTAAAAATCACAAATTCGAAATTGACCCACCTTATAGATTTTTTCTTCTCTTCCTCCTATTCTACATTCTCTTCCTCACCCAAATTTCATTTCCTTCATCCCAATCTTATCTAGTTTAAGAAATAATATCCTTAGCCTAGACTAGGTGACTTACTCCAATAGATGAACAACTCATCCCAAAATCAGATTTTTGAAGAGAAGTAAGAGGGAAGGGGGGAAGAATGAATGTTTGTCTTACACGTTGCCTTTCTTTTTTATTTTTTTTATTTTTATATAACTCACAATTAAGTTAAATAAATAAATATTATTATTATATTATTAAAAAAAAAAATTCCTAGACACTTAGCATCAGAGGGTGATTGGTGGACCCGTCACCATCTATTTAGCGACCACTGCATGTTTCAGTTCAGGAGATTAGAGTTGTTGTCCACCATGCTAGGCAACCCCAAGTGCAATAGAAAACATACAAAAGTGCGACCTCAAAATCCCCAAGTCCACCATTGAGGAAGGGTTGACAAGGTTTTGATGCACTCTAAACTGGTGGTGCAAAATCGTGCATCAACAATTCTGATGTAGAAGATACTTAACCGATGTGAATTTTCTTAGGGGTGGGCATTAATCCTCCTGAACCGACTAAACTGGCCAAATCAAATCATAATTCAGGTTTGATTTGGTTTTAACCAAGAAAAGTCAACGGTTTAAAATCGAATCAGACCGTAAATTGTTTGGTTTTGAGCTTTTGCAATATTAGCTTTTAGTTATTGAACTGAACTATGAATTTTATTGCATGTCGAGTTTTAGGATGGTTTGATAAGCTAGAAAGTAAAGAAAAGAAAGAAAAAAACGTAGCAAGTGTGAATTTTTGTTGTCACTGTAATTGCATTAACAATGTTGAATTGGGCTTAGCCCAACCTGGCTTAAATTAGTTTAGTTTGGTTCGATTTTTTTCGTGATTTTGGCAAACTAAACCGAACTAAGTCGTTATATTGTAATTGGTCAGTCGCAATTTTGACGTGAAATCGATCCATGGACCGTGTCCATCATAAATGCTAGTGTGAATGTCTTAATGTGGGGCATTGGGCTTTTATGAAATGTGAGATATTTTATTGACTAAAATGAGTTTCCGATCGAATTTTGTATGTTTGTGACCATTATACTGAAATTTATCTTTTTGCGTGGAATATTCTTTAAAATTAGCAATCGTTTTGCTGTACCTTATTAAACTTAAATCCCACTCGACCAACAGAAAAATCTGAGATTTCGTAATAAACATTAATTAATCGTAAGCCACAAACGTAATGAATGGATGTTTGTTGACTTCAAGAGATGAGCTTTCTGGGGACTCTCCAAGACTTGACTTGCAGAACATAGAAATCTTCAGCCGATGTGGTAGTTTCCCTCACCCATGAAGAACATAGGAATCTTCAGCCGAGTATATAGAATCAAATAAAAACAAGAGGAAATGGAGTTTCAAGGGAAGAAAAACAAACCAGGCTTTGCTTCTCATTGTGACCTCTTTGTCCATCTCGGATACTTGTGTGCTGCAACTAAAGAAAGCTTACGATAGTCGACCCGCAATCGTGGAAGAGGTTCACGTTGGGGTGATTCTTCATATGGATCAGGGAAGGAAAGATTGTTCACAGTTGCATTACGACAGCCCTGTCTGATTTCTACCAGAGCATAATAACTACACCACAAGAGTGATTCTACACACTAGAAATTCCAAAGCAAACCTCTACATGCTCTATCAGCTGGTGAGCCATTCTACACACTACTTGTGTTTTTACTATATTTTCTTCTATAATTTCAAAATCTTGGCTGAATTTGCTTGCGGTAATCTTGGACTGAGTGTATTACGCATTGGCAATAATTCTATTTTTCCTTTTATAAAGCTTCTAGGAGATTATTTCTTTCCCACCATATTATAAGAAGTCATCATCAAATTTAATACATTAGTTTCCAGAATAATATGGAATAATGGCCCAGGAAAGCGGTTTGCGTTTCATGTGCTTGTTTGCTCTTAATTTCATTATGCCTGTCCTCGTGTTGTTTTTTTTCTTTTTTTTTTGATGATTTTTGGGGGAGGGGGGATTCCGACTTGGGACCTCTTCCAACTAAATTAAGAAGAACTAGTTGGTTGCTTCGTCTCTTTTTCTTAACTGTGCCTTTGACCAAAACTAGTTAAGCTAAAGACTTATCGTCAGCAGCTGCCTAAGCTTACTTCGAGAAGAAGTTGTTGCTTCAAGAACTATAGCTGCAGCTGTTCATATTACAGCCAAGCTTCTGAAGCCAGTAACAGGTCACAATTTCAAAGCCTCTAAACTTGTCGATTTCTCTGTTGACCGTCTGAATTAAATATTGTGGAATTACAAAGTAGTCTTAAATTAAAGAAACAGAACAGAAAGGCTATATGTGGCCAGTCCGTTCTGAATGACAAATAGTGTATACCCAATAATAATGAAAGAAGAAACACATGATGGATCCAGTGGTAAACAGAGAACTAGTTATTCTCTCCTAGGCGTGGGCCATAGAGGTTATTGGAAGTTACCCATACCCTCCCCCGAAGACTATTTGGGTTCCATAAGCCTCATCTCTCATCTGCGCTGTTTCTTCTTTCATTATTAAGTTGGGTATACATATTGTGTCATTCCAGAACGGACTGCCACATATACCTTTATGTTCTGTTTCTTTAATTTAGAGACTACTTTGTAAATTCCAACATATTTAAATCAGACGTCAACAGGAAACGAAAGTTTTAGGAGGCTTGAAATTGTGACCATGTTACTAGGCTTCAGAAGCTTGGCTTAATATGAACAGCTGCAGCTATGTTCTTGAGCAACAACTTCTTCTCGAAGTAAGCTTTAGGCAGCTTGCTGACGATAAGCTTCTAGCCTAACTCGTTTTGGTCAAAGGCACAGTTACCGAAAATGCGAAGAAAGCAACCAATAGTTCTTCTTAATTTCGTGGGAAGACGGTCCCAAGTCCGGAAGTCGGAACCCCCCTCTCCCCCAAAAAATCAGCAAAAGAAAAAGAACAACAACACCGAGGACAGGCATGGCATAATGAAATGATTAAGAGCAAACAAGCACATTGAAACGCCCAAACCGCCTTTCCTGGCTAACGCCATTATTCCATATTATTCTGGAAATCTAATGGATTAAATTTGATTTGGACTTCTGTATGAATTAGGGTGGGAAAAGAAATAATCTCCCTTAGAAGCTTATAAAAAGGAAAACTAGAATTATTGCCAAATGGCGATAAAACACTCAGTCCAAGCTTACAGCAAGCAATATTGCAGCCAAGATTGGGAAATTATAGAAGAAAATATCCCAGTACAAAAACACAAAGTAGTTGTGTATAGAATGGCTCACCAGCTGTGCATAGAAGCAATGTAGAGGTTTTTGCCCTTTGGAATTGCTAGTGTGTGTAGATCCATCTTGTCGGTGTGTTATTTAGGCATGTTGGTAGAAATCAGACAGATGGCCTTGTCGCCTAATGCAGAACTGGTGACGCAATCCTTTCCTTCCCTTGAGTACATCATGAGAATCACCAACGTGAACTCCTCTTCACCGATGGGGTACGACGTAATCGTAATGCATTTCTTTAGTTGCAGCACACAAGATCCGAGGATGGGCAAAGAGGTCACAAATGAGAAAGCAAAGACTGGTTTTGCTTTTTCTCTCCTTGGAGAACTCGATTTCCTCTTGTTTTTATTTGATTCAATACTCAGGCTGAGATTCATATGTTCCTTCATGGGTGAAGGGAAACTACCACATCGCCTGCAAGATTCTCTATGTTCTGCAAGTCAAAGTCTATGGAGAGTCCAGAAAGCTCATCTCCTTGAAGTCAAACAACATCCGTAGAGTCATACGTTTGTGGCCATTACGATTAAGTTAATTGTTTTAGTACAGAAATCTCAGATTTTTATGCTGGCCTCTAAAGTGGGATTGTAATGTTTAAGACGGGCTAGAGACTACCAGCAAATAACGATTGCTAATTTTCAAAGAATATGCAACGCAAAACAGCATAAATTCAGTATAATGGTGCTCACAAACATACAAAATTTAGCCGCGCCGACAAACTCATTTTTAGTCACTAAAATATCTCACATATTCATAAAAGGCCCAATGCCCCACCATTAAGGCTTTTACACTAGCATTTATGATGAGACACGGTCCATGGATCGATTTTTCACGTTCAAAATTGCGATGTGCCAAGCCGGAACCAATTACAAATGCGACTTAGATTCGGCTTTAGTTTGCCAAAAATCACGAAAAAAATCGAAACCCAAACTAAACTTAATTTAAGCAGGTTGGGCTAAGCCCATTAACATTGTTAATGCAATAATTAGTGACAACAAAAATTCACACTGCCTACGTTTTTTTCTTCTTTCTTTACTTCTGAGCTAAAACTTATCAATAACCATCCTTTAAAACTACGACATGCCATAAAATTTCATTAGTGAGATTCAAAAATAAAAGCCCTAAATTATTGCCAAAGCTCAAAACCAAACAATTTACGCGGTGATTCGATTTTTAAAACGTGATGACTTTTTTCTGGGTTAACAACCAATCAAACCTGGAATTATGATTTGATTTTCGGCCAGTTTAGTCGGTTCAGGCAGGGCTATTTAATGCCCACCCCTAAGGAAAATTCACATCGGTTGTAAGTAATTTAGTACAATCAGAATTGTTGATGCAAGATTTTTGACACCACAAGGTAGAGTGCATTCAAACACCTTGTCAACCCTTCCTCAATGGTGGAATTGGGGCTTTTGGAACGGGTCGCACTTTTGCTATGTTTTACTATGCACTTGTGGTTGCTAGCCATCGGTGGACAACAACTCTAATCTCCTGAACTGAAACTGCAGTGGGTCGCTAAAAATCAGATGTGACGGTTGTCCAACAATCACCTATGAGATTGCTAAGTGTCTAGACATTTTTGTTTTTTAATAATAATAATAATAATAAATTTAATTTATTAAACTTAATTGTGAGCTTCTATTAAAATAAAAAAAAAAAGAAAAAAGAAAGTGGCGGGGGCAACGTGTACATGTAGACAAAAAGTGAATCTTCCCCCCTTCCCTCTTACGTTCTGCAAAAATTGATTTTGGGACATGAGTTGTTCATCCTTGGACGGTAAGTCACCTGTATAGGCCTAAGGCTATTAATTTCTAAACTAAGATAGATTGGGGATGATGGAAGGAACAGGAATTTGGGAGTGGAAGAGAATGTACGAATGAGTGAAGAGAAGTGCAAAAATCTATTAGGTGGCGCCAATTTCGAATGTGTGATTTAACTTTGTGTTATGTGTGTTTCTAGTCCTTAAAGAGTATTTTGGTCTTTGAGTGATGAGGAATTTTTGTATTTTTTTATTTTATCAAAGAGCTGTAAGAAACTTTCATTCAAACCAACAACCCATACAATTTGCAATCAAAACAATGGATGCAACAAGAGGTGGACCTCATTAAAATCTTGCCATAAAAACCTCTAATGGGAGGACACTCGGTCAAGGAAAAAAGAGTTACCTAGCATCGAAACTGAAAACCCAAACAACTACCCACCCTCCATGTCTGTACCAACAAATGAGACAAGCCATGAGTCAGGAGCGAAGACCATCCAGAAGAAAGAATGATGCTGGTTCTCCGTAGCCCAAAAAAGGCCAAAAGAGTGAGCTCCCGATTACTCCGAACGCGGGGCAAAAAAAAAAAAAATCACGAACACACAATTCTGCTAGCAACCTTCTAATGTCATCCACAATTACCAGATTACTCCAGAGCTCTCATTTCCTTTCAGCAACAGCCACAACTTCCTGCGAGTTTTGATGCTGTACCAAAAAATACAGAGACTCCCAAATCACGCAGCCTTCAATAATCCAATGTGTATAGCTACACATTCAGTAGCCAAAACATCCAAAACCTGCGGCCTTTGATCGGCAAGACCCCACAATAAAGGTCGCCTGCGGAGGAGTCTCTAAGGACCCACCCACCCTCTATTACACCCGCTGTCCCAATGCCCCTCCAAGTCCATAAAAAAGAAGAAGAGGGAGAGGTTACCATCAATAAGATTGTGGCACCCTGTTGCTGGCTTGGTGCAAGTTATGTGATTGTAAAAACTGCTCCAAAAACTCCATGGTACTCGACAATCTCGGAAGCCATCCGACGGTCTTCTTAGAGAGCACCTCATGCGAAAGCTGTTACCAAACTCGCCAGCAGCAACACACACAAAAACCGTTGTAAATCACAATCTGCCATAGTAAGGAAACCATAAAACAAACCTCCAACAAAAATTTGCAACAAGGAGCTTGTCTGAACCTGCCCGAATCAATGTTGAAGGAAGTTAGACCCCAAAACGTTTTTGCTGTGTTTACAGCCAAAAAGCATGGGATAAACATCCGCTCGTCGTTTCTACAGCCCCACAACCCAGAACGCTTTCTCTGAACTAGGTTTTTGATGCGCTGTAGGAAAAATATTTAAACTGCCTTCCAAAGCAGCATATTTAACCTTTTTTGGAACTGCCAAGAGTGCCAAAGTTTTTTCCAAAATGCGCGCTGAGTTCCAGAGTTGGAGCCGCCAAGCTCCCCATTGCCCTTTATCACCAAAGTCTTAAATCAATGCAGGTTTCGGTGGTTATCCAGTCTTCACCGAATATTTACCATTTTTTGAGAAAAAACCAGAAGCGCTTATCTTCAAGAGATCCCACTGATGGCAAAGGAATACTCAGAATTGCGCCACAGTCCTCGTCACAAAAGAAGATCCAGGAGAGTCCTATTCCACCCACTCGACGTTCGTAATTAGATCAGAGAAACCTTGGCCTCTGGAGGAAGACTCTATTTATGAGGGGCGACGAAAAGGTATAAGGTTTTGAAATCCATTTATCAGGAACTACCCTCACAGAAGTCCCCACCACCAAATGCGCCAAATAAGGCCCCTGTTCAATAACTTGTCTTCCCCACAGAATTGAGCGCCAGATTAAAGACGGTGACTGTCCATACCCCGCTATAAGAAAATCACCATTTGGAAAATAACAAGCTCAAAGGATTCGACCAACCAAAGAGGAAGGGTTCTCTTACAACCGCCATGCTGTTTGGTACCATGGCTTGATTAAAAGCTTCAAAATTTTGAACCCCAGTCCTCCTAAGCATTTTGGCAGACAGATTCCGCCAGCTCTTCCAATGTATGCTCCTTTTACCTAACTTCCCCAACCAAAATCTCACCACCATTGCTGATAATTCCTGACATAAACTTTTTGGCAGTTGAAACACCCCCATTATGTATGGTGGGAGCGCCGAGCCATGCTTTAATAAGAACTTCTTTCCCTGCCATTGACAATAATTTAGCATTCCACATATGAAGCTTGTTCCACACATGTCCCTCACATAATTAAACAAGCGATGTTTACTCTGTCCAATAATAGTAGGCAACCCCAGATAACGTGTAGGACAATCCACAATACGTACTCCCAACATGGATGAAATAAGACACTTCATGATTGGATCTGTTTTAGGACTAAAGCTTGCTGCAGATTTCGCAAAATTAATTTTTTGGCCTGAGCATGCTCGTAAACTCTAAGAAGAATCATCAGATTATAACAGAAAAATGAGCATTGCAGAATAATAAACTATCATCTGCAAAAAATAAGTGAGACAACGCAGGAGCGCCTTGGGCCACTGCAACACCACGAATTTTCTTAGTACTTTTAAGCCTGAGACAACAAAGCCGAAAGACCTTCTGCACAAATGAGAAAGAGATAAGGCGAAAGAGGATCCCCTTGTCTTAAACCTTAGAAGAAGTAATGAAAACCCATTGCCGCCCCCTAACTTTCACCGAGAAGGAGTATAGTAGAAATACAATCCATAATTAAACCACCCATCTGTTATTGAAAACCTAATCCTCATCATACAACTCAGAAAATTCCATTCTACTATAGTAGGCTTTGACATATCGGAGCCTTCAAAACCATTTTTTCAGAGCCCCCCCCCTCTTTGGATGGCATGAATGCTTTCAAAAGCAGCAATAATGTTGTCAGTAATCAAACCGGAGAAGGAAAAAAGGCATTTGGTACTCCGAGAGACATCTCCTAATACCCTTCATTCTGTTCACCAGTGTTTTTGATATCAGTTTATAGAGAACAGAGCATAGACTTATTAGTCGGTACTCAGTAACTCGTGTGGGATGTCCACCTTTGGGATAAGAGTAATGAGAGTATGGTTGATCTCTCGTACACTAGCTGCCATTTAGGACATTTAGGCAAAAACTGAACACATCATATTACATGCCAGTACCGCTGGTAAAAACAAAGCTGGCATCCCATCAAGACCAGGAGATTTAGTAGGAAACATTTTTGAGAGCACATCCTCCAATTCGGCTCTAGTAAAAGGCTGGCTCAGTCTTTCATGTGTGTCTCGAGTCAATTTAGGTTGCACTGCAGCCAATACAGTGCTAAAAATCATTCTCACCACTAGTGGTGAATAGCTTCTTTAAATACTCACAAAAAATGGAACCAACGCCTTCATTAGAAGTATTCCACACATTATGCTCATTAAAATACCTTGCATGAAATTTCTTCGTCCCCTTTCTTTAGCTTGTGCATGAAAAGAATTTTGTGCTTTGATCCCATATTTAAGCCAAGATACTCGAGACCTTTGTGTTGCCAGATCATCTCCTCCTTCGCAAGTAGTATCCAGCTCACCAGTCAGCCTACGTTGACATCGCACCACATCATCTGTTTGCGGTTTCTTTTTTAATCCATCAAGTTGCCCTTGAATATGTCGGATCTGCATGGGAATATGGCCCACCATGGATTCATTCCAATCCAGTAAGGACTGTTGGCAAGCTTCTAACTTAGTAACCACCTCACCTTGTTCCTCACCCCAAGCTTGAACAACTGTCTCCGTACACCCATCAACTTCGGTCCACATTTCTTCAAACATAAATCTTCGAGCCCACCGCACCATATATGAGCCCCCAAAATAAATAGATACAAGAAAGTGGTCTAAAACCGAAAAGAGTTTCACATGATGAACTATTGCCCCCGGAAAAGCTTGAAAAAACGCAGCATTCGCCACTCCCCTATCCAGCCGAAGTTGGACTCTGTCATCCCCAGTTCGATTGTTTGTCCAAGTAAACTTGTAACCCTTATACTTCATCAATGTCAAACCACAATCCTCAAGAGCCATGACAAAATCCCGAATTGTGACGCTGGTCTATATCGTCTACCCAAATATCATTAACTCCAGCACTTCATTAAAATCACCCACCCACTACCCATGGACCCGAATATCCGTCTGCCAAACGATGTAAAAACCCGTAAAATGGAAACAAGTTTGTGCCACACCCTCAATCATGGCATCAATATGCCCTGACGAAAAAGAACGAATAGAAAAACCTTCACCCGTGCTGCCACAATAACGCCAATCCACACAGCACGACCATTTAGACTCCACACTAAAATGACCCATTGCTTATAGTTTGCACTGACCCCTACCATTTGTTGTATGTCTTCTTGGTTTCTGATAAGAAGATGGACATCGAGCTTTTGTCTCATGAGTAGTACCATCAGAGCACAGAATGTTCGGGATTACCCAGACCACGAACATTCCAGCATAATATTGTCATTTTCGTTTATGGGCCCCAGTCACCGGACCCATCACGGATTTGCCAGTAGAACCAGTAGTCTTTCGTAAACTCGAACCCCACACTTTCCACTGCACCCGATTTTGGAAGACTGCCCCGAACACCACTGACCCCCAACCTTGACACATTTTCTCTTTCCCATAGCAACCTGCCCATCGGAACTAGACACCAAGGGGGATTTAGGAACACCCCCCTTCATTCTCTATGGGGTCCGAAGAAAGAAACACTCCCTCCAAAGTGCAACCCTTGAGGCTAGAGCTTCCAAAGTCAAAACAGGTCGTACTGGAATTCACAAAACTGTTTGTTCTGCATGGGACTTAGGTTTCGGTATAGTCTGTCATCAGCTTCTTTTCCCCATAGATCGTGCGTTTCTTGAGACCCCAACTTCCAACGAAACTTTGTCTCATGCTTCTCTTCCATTGGCGTCCAACCCATCTTCAAAGGTACCGAAAGCTCCCCAAATGACTGAACACACATAGACATTGATCCCTTTGAGGTTTTTGCTAAACTTAATATTGGGCAAAACCATAAGAACCCAATACATGACCCGAGATCTTGACACTTCATGAAATTTTCACCAATACACATTATGCCGGGAAATTCAATTAGACTTAAACTACATACTCCTTGAATGATTTAGTTAGTTAACCATATAAGATAGTTGCCTTTGAGGCGATACTAGGCGAGCTGAATGTCAGTGTGGGCGAAATAGATTTCTCATCTCTCGGGCCTGTTCGCACGTTTAGAAAAAACCCCTAATCCGTGTCTTCATCCGTGCTACACATAAATGGGTAAAGTGCACTATTATTAGGCAGAGAGAAGGACCCCGTTCTCAGTGAAGCCCAATAATCAATACCACCCATCACAGGTATAATAGGAGAAACTACTTCTCTTCATTTGACCAATATAATATTCTGAATATAAATTTATTAAACCAAATTTTACACAAATTTATTTACACATAGGTCACTTACAGTGGGACTAACACATATTATAAAATATTCTTACATTCTCCACTTGGCCCATTGATAAATTTACTTATGGTTCCAATAAATAAACCATTAGCGCGAGCGCGTCCATGCAGGAATAAATCCTCACTTTCATATGGTCGACATAAATACCACATTTTAAGCCAAATGTCTAATGCGAAGTTATGGCGGTTGCGATCAATAGACGATACAGTCATCCAGTACCACAACATTAGCAAATTCGCCCTTATAACAGTCCATAAGTTGACGAAGTATCATAAAAGGCTCTCAATAATGTCTTGTCAGAGTCTGAGCGCATGTGAGCATGCATCCAATCTCATTCATGGATATAAAACATATAGGGAAGAGAAAAATAACAGGAATAACGGAACCTATATGCAATTATGGAGATCAGAGTGTCAAAATTAAATACAATGTATATGCAAACCACAACTTCATAAATACATCATGGTTTATAACCAAGAACAGTCCTGGATATAACTATACATGTCTTGCGCCAGAGAACCTTTTACTTGGCTTTGCCATGCATAAAGTATAGTTGTCTTTATAGACCAACTCTTTGGTTCGTGAACTCCTTAACTGTACAACGGTATTTGAATTCCACTATGTTAGCACTCTTAGATACACTGTCATTCGTGGAGAAAAGACAATTGCGCGGTCATCACATAAATTCTTAGCGGCAGTTCTGGCACTTAAAAGGCATAAATACCAAGTCCTAAGATTAATATACCCGTACTTCAATACATCAATATGTGCTCAAGCAAACCATATAGTGCATAATGAATTCTCAAGTGTACGGTATATGTCCAAGCACTACTGATGGCTATTGCATAATGCTACTAAACTGTCACCCTCCTGAATTCGCAAGCTAGCATTAAGTTGGATAAACTTATTCATTACGCCATCGTCTCTTTAGAACCTTAAATATATGCTAAATTGAGACAAACTTAACAACTTCCATGGATCCATTCTAGAATATTCAATTCCAACACAAAAATTGTCATCTCATCCATAATATTTCATTCAGGGTCTTAGAGAAAAGCTTAATTGGTTTCAACAATGAAAACCCAAGACCAATACATAGCAAGAAAAATAGCTAAATATCCAAAATGAGAAATATAAACTTAACTCCCACTGACCTTGAGATACATACAACAATAATAGTTGCTTTCATTAAAATTAGGGTTGTCCAATATAGATCCCTACATTTTCTATTTCCTAGACATATACCCATCACTCTATAAATCTATGTGTAAAACCCAATTTCAATTTAAACGACTAGTAGGATATAAGAGGTCGGTAGTATTTCTATGTTTTACATCATTGCCACCAAACTTCATATTTTATTTATATTTATTTCAAGCATTTCATTAACTGTCATAATTGTAATTAATATACTCCCTATTAATAGCATATCAATCACCCCATTTCTTTTAGTTGTCATTCCCTCTCACATCTCGCCCCCTAAAATTACAACAAAAAAAAAAAAAAAAATAAATCTACATATCCATATAATATACCTATGAAATATAATATAATATATACATATAAAATATATAAATTTATAAATAAACCCAATTCTAGACATGATTTATAAACAAAACCAAGCACTATTAAACATAGAAACACACCCAAAATCAACCCCAAAGTCAACTTTTGGGTGTGTTTATAAATGGGTTTTGAGTGTGTGTTGTAATGATGAGGGGTTTTTGGGTGTGTTTATATGTTTAATAGTCCTTGGGTTTTTTTATAATTTCAACCCCATTTTGGGTGTTTTAGTGAAACTCCCTAAAAATATAGGTATATTATTTACAAAAAAAAAAAAAAAAAAAACAAAGTTACTT